TTAAGACCATCCATGAATCCTCTCTTGCATGTTTGAAATTCATCTTCATTTGGAGAAATCATCAAGTTTCAAGTTGTTTTGTGGTGTCTAATCATGTTTTGGGAAGCTCAAGACCAAGAAAACCCATGCATGTTGTATTCATGAACATTCATCATGTTTTAAGTTGAAATTGTGAGTTTTTAACAAACCCTTGGGCCATGATTTTATGAAATGATCCTAAATTCTTCATGTTTTATAAGTTTACTATGTTATCTCAAGTTTTGGGGCCCAAAAGATGTGTTTTGAAGGTTGGAATTTGAGTTTTGAGCTTGAAGGTGCAATCTGGAAATTCCAGAATTTGAATCTACGCTCGAGCATGGGAGTTCATGCTCGAGCGACCAATCTGAGTGCGTGCACTCCGCTCGAGCGACCAAAAGTCCGCTCGAGCGTGAATTGCAAGCTTCCAGAAGTTTCATGTCTTTTACAGATCACTCAAGCAAAGGAACGTGCACTCAAGCGACCATTCACATTTTGCATGTCCGCTCGAGCGAGGAAAGCTACGCTCGAGCGTAGACCTTATTTTCGAAAAATTTGACTAAGTGTTCCAAATCATGTTTTGGCATCTTCATTACATCTTAGGCATTCCTAAGCCTTAATTAAGCCATAGTAATGAGGTTATGGATTAGAAACATACTAAGAAAAGAATGTATTAAGTTCCGAGACTACAAGTGTATGTGTTTTAGGTAATGTGATAAGAAAGAATAAGAACCAATGTAATGAGAGCTAAGCCTTAATGGCCACTTGAATGTGTAATGATAAGTCATGTTTGTGTTATGTATTTTGTGATTGTAGATCAAGACTCGAGGGTTGTTTGACCATTCTAGGAAACCACTGTGAGTAACGTTATTATAAAGATACGTTCATATGAATTACGTTCTAAATTAAATATGATAAGTTCTGATTTTTGAAATGATATCTGTTTTCGTGAACGAATATTCCATATTTGAAATCTATTATGACATCCATAGATAGTCTCAAGTCATGCGGGATGGCATAAAAATGCGGGTCCATGACATACAAGTAATTACGAGATCTCGTTAGCCACTTCATTGTGGTGATATGTGTTTAATCGGTATCCAGAACTGATTATTCTAGTCGGAAGACGTTCTGTGATGTGTTCTATGGGATGTACCATTATTATGTTCTGATATGAGAATGATTATGCTCTGGTCTGTTTTCTACTTATGATATATTCGAATTTCGTTCACTAACCCCTTTACCTTAATGTTATTCTCTAGGCTTTAGCTCATTGTGTGTATATATATGTATAGGTGAGCATTCTGGAGCCCGAGCCTGAAGGCTTTTTGTATGGACCTGTGTTCTGTTGTCAGCCAACCATTGTGCGTCACGTAGAGGTTCCCAAAGCGTCTTGTGTTTAAGTTCTGTGGTTTCTGTTTATTTAAGACTTGATTTGATGTCGTTAGTTGTACTTAAAATACTGTAATGTGTGTGGGTATAATGTATGGTTGATTACCGGTTATTGTATATAAAGTTTTTAAATATTTCGTTCATATAGGTCAGCACAGCTCATTGGACAACTATATTTATGTATTTGCTTCCGCTAGCACCTTAATCTTGTTAATTTGTTCAGAGGCCTTCGGTAGTCCAAGGATTACTGGCCGATTACGATGCTAAACCTATAGGGGCGGGTTTGGGTCGTGACAACACATCACTCCTTGATTTTGATTAATCTCTCTTTCGGCTGCTGTCACTGTTTTTGTTTTGTTATTTTTTTAACACCTCTCCACTACTTACAACCTAATTGACATTTATTATTACATTATATTTTACATATAAATATATTTTATAAAATCAATACATGTAACACTCTTTTTTTATATATATATAAATATAAATATATAAATATTCAAATTAATTATATATAATTAAATATCATATTAAATTTATTAAACAACACATTAAATTCTCATGTAATCACACAATTAATAAAATCAAAAATAAAATAAAGTAATAATAAATAAATAAAAATTTACAAAAAAATTAAGGTTGCTACACCTAATAATTTATTAAGTGTACATCTAACTTGAGTGTCCATAATTAAAAACATATCAAGTGGTGGTGGTGGTAATATTAATTATTAGAATTGGTATTATTTTAAAATTAAAACTAAAATAATTAAAATTTGGGTTAATTAAAAATAAAAATTCAGGGTTTCGTGTGTTCTTCAATTTAAACCCTAGAATTTCAATTTTGACAAATTAAATCCTAGAGTTTCATCCGTGTTTCAATCTGACCCCTCATTCCTTCTCCGTCATATTAAACTAACGGAAATCTATGCAAAATTTAGATTCAAACCCATACGTTCAAGCACTTGTATCTCCCTCGTCGTAACTACGTTTCGCCTCATTTTTGCGTCGTTAGATTCGCCTTATGGCCTAATTTTCATTCCATTCTTCATACGCCTTGTTCCACATCTTTTTACTTGCCGTCGGAGTTTCGAAAGTTGGTTAAAAATAAGATTTTTCTCTCTATAGGCAAAATTTTCAGATTCAAACCCACATGCTCAAACACTTGTATTTCTCTCGTCGTAACTCCATTTCACCTCATCTTTGCGTCGTTAGATTCAACTCATGGCCTAATTTTAATTCCATACCTCATATGCCTTATGTCACCTCTTTTTGCATGCCATCAAATATCCAAAAGTTGGCCAAAAATAAGCTCTTTTTTTTTTCTCTTTTTTTTCCCCCCTCCACTTCCCCAGGCTTGCTGCTACTTCATTATCATTATCTGCAAGATGAGGTGGTGGTGGTAATGGTGGTGGTGTCGACGAGTAGTGACAGGTATACAACTACACATAAAAATCAAAAACCAAATGGGTTGGTCACCATGTTAGGATGCCTTGGTTTCCAATCAAGCATCATCCATTGCATCTCTACTACCAAGAATAATGTTGCGACAACAAGAAGAGAGAGAGAGAGAGATCTTATTTTTGACCAACTTTCGGAGCTTCGACGGCAAGTAAAAAGATGTGTAACATGGCATATGAAAAGTGGAATGAAAACTAGGTCATAAGGTGAATCTAACGACGCAAAAATGAGGCGAAATGGAGTTACGACGAGGGAGATACAAGTGTATGAGTATGTGAGTTTGAATATGAAAATTTTGCTCAAAGAGGGAAAAATATTATTTTTGACAAACTTTTGGAGCTCTGATGGCAAGTAAAAACATGTGGAACAAGGCGTATGATGAGTGGGATGAAAACTAGGTCATAAGGTGAATCCAACGACGCAAAAATAAGGAGAAATGGAGTTACAATGAAGGAGATACACGTATTTGAACATATGAGTTTAAATTTGAAATTTTGTCCAAATTTCTGTTAGTTTAATATGACGGAGATGGACGGATGGATCAGATTGAAACATGGATGAAACTCTAGGATTTAATTTGTCAAAATTAAAATTTTGTAGTTTAAATTGAAAAACATGCGAAACCTTAAGTTTTTTTTTTTTTTGGTAATTAACCTTTAAAATTTTATTTATTACTTAGGTCAAACATATTTTTTTTTTTTTAAAAAAAAAAAAAATCTTAATTCACCCTTAATCTAACCCAACTTAAATAAATGAGTGTTTTGGGAAGTCAGTAAAAAATTAATTTTTTGATTTTTTTAACTTTTTTTTGTCTTTTTATGGGTAAGTTATGTAAGAGGTGAGGGTAAAAAGCTGAAAGCTGACTTTTTACCAGCTTCCCAAAAGAACACAAAGGGGTGGTTTGGAAATAGATTTCTGGTTAAAATAATCTATTAAAAGAAAAAAAAAAGTTCGGCATACTTATTTGGACTAAAATAGTCCTATAAGACAAAATGTCATATCTAAATCATAATCATTTTATTTTAACTTTCAGGCTAAAATAGTTCAAAAACTAAAAAATAAAAAAATCAACCCACATTCCAAATGAAGGTAAAATAAGTTAAAATAGTCCATAAGATAAAATATTACATCTAATCTATAATCATTTTATTTTTTCTTTTATAACCATCAAATCAATTACAAAAAAAAAAAAAAAGTCAATCAACTTTTCAAATATAACTTATTTAGCCTCTGTTTGGAAAGTGGGTTGGCTTTTTGACTTTTTTGGCTATTTTAACTTGGGCTAAAAAGTTTGGTTTAGGAAAGATTTTTTGATTTTTTTGACTTTTTTTTTAGAGAAGAATGTAATGATTATGGGTTGGATGTAATATTTTATTTTTTGTGGTTAAAATAGCCAAAAAAGCCCCGTTTAACTGTTGCCAAACGGAGCCTTAGGGGCTATTTGGGAAGATGAAAAAGACAAAAGTTTAATATATTTTAAATCACATCACTTTTTTTATAACAAAATTAACTTTTAATTATATTTTCAAAATACAACCACGTCAAAATAATTAAAAAATAAAATAATTAATTAAACAGTCGTGCTAGGGAGCTCGAATCTGAGCTCCCCGAATCCCCCTAATCCTAGAAACGATGTCGTTTTTGTATTTTTTTTTTCTGGTTCAATCAGAAACGAAGAAGAGAAGAGAAGGAAGGAGGAGGAGGAGGAGGAGGGAGGAGGACTGGAGGGGCCCTTAATTATAGGGGGAGGAGGAGGCGGAGGCGAGGCAGAGACGGGGGCTGCTGGAGACGACGATCGGGTTGCGGAGACGACGATCGGACAGAGGCGAGGGTTGCCGGAGACGACGATCAGGCGAGGCGACGCCAGGTGACGCTGCGATGAGTTGCTGCGAGGACGCCGGGCGACGATCAGGCGGTGACTGCGAGCCCTCTTCCCCTCTTTTCTCCCCCCTCTCTCTCTTTCTCTCTCCCTCCTAAATTTTGAGGGATTCGAAAAAAAAGATTACGAGCTCCCAAACTTTACTCTTAATGAAAATAGTCAACTCCTTAAATAAGGTCCAGCGTAAAAATTAAATAAAGAAATAAAATTATTGGGGCTAAGTAACTTCGATACGAAGAAACGCAGCGTTAGATCAACGCAACGCGAAGTGGTTACCGCCGTTAAACGCGGTTGCTCCAATCCCCTGAATTTAACACTTTCACTTCAAACCTCACAATTTCACTTTCATTCAAATCTTCAATTTTCTTCGAATTTAATTCCCAAATCTCTCTCTCTCTCTCTCTCTCTCTCTCTGGAAATTTGAATCAAACAAAAATAAAATGGGAGGATCACAGAGTCGCGAAGGCTTAGATCTCTCAGACTACGAAGACGACGACGAAGAAGAAGAGCACAGCGAAGACCAAAACGACGACGCTCAAGACCACGACGACGATCGACACCAATCCAAGCCCCAGACCTCTTTCGGATCCAAAACCCTAGACGATCTGGACTCCAAGCTCAAAGCCCTCAAGCTCAAATACCCTTCTTCTCAAAACCCTAATTCCAAGTACTCCGTCAAGCTCTACCTCCATGTCGGTGGCAACACTCCCAAAGCCAAATGGGTCGTCTCCGATAAACTCACTTCCTATCAATTTGTCAAGAAAAACGATGATTATGATGATGATGAAGAAGAAGATGGGTCTGGCCGTGGAGGTGAGAATTGTTGGGTTTTGAAAGTGGGTTTGAAGATTCGAGCTAGGGTTTCGACCGATATGCAATTGAAGATGTTTGGTGATCAGCGACGGGTCGATTTCCTGTGGAATGGAGTTTGGGCGTTGAAGTTTTTTGGGGATGAAGAGTATCGGAGTTTCGTGACTGAATTTCAGGATTGTTTGTTTGAGAATGTGTATGGATTGAAGGCAATTGATGAGAACAAGGTTAAGATTTATGGTAAGGAATTCATGGGGTGGGTGAAGCCGGAATCGGCGGACGATTCGATGTGGGAAGATGCCGATGATGGAGTGTGGAAGAGCCCGGAAAAAACGTCGGTGAGGGCCAGTCAGGATTTGCTTGAGGAATTTGAGGAGGCAGCGACCGGAGGAGGGATACAGAGCTTGGCTTTGGGAGCATTGGATAATAGTTTCTTGGTGAATGATTCGGGTGTTCAGGTTGTGAAGAATTTTAGCCATGGAATTCATGGTAAAGGTGTGTATGTGAAATTCGACAATGGGGGTCAGATGGGTAGTTCTAGCGCAGCGAAATCGACTCCAAAGAAGGCGCTTTTGATGAGAGGTGAGACTAATATGCTCCTTATGAGTCCATTGAAGGAAGGGAAGCCCCACTCCACGGGGCTACACCAATTGGATATTGAGACGGGGAAGATTGTCACACAATGGAAATTCGAAAAGGATGGAACTGATATTACTATGAGAGATATTACAAATGATACAAAAGGGTCGCAATTGGATCCTTCAGAATCAACTTTCTTGGGGTTGGATGATAATAGGCTTTGTCAATGGGATATGCGCGATAGGAAAGGAATGGTTCAGAATATTGCTTCTGCGAATTCGCCAGTATTGCAATGGACACAAGGACATCAATTCTCAAGGGGGACGAATTTTCAGTGCTTTGCGACAACTGGTGATGGGTCCATTGTTGTTGGGTCAATTGATGGGAAAATTCGGTTGTATTCGAAGACTTCAATGAGGCAAGCAAAGACTGCTTTTCCAGGGCTTGGTTCGCCTATCACCCATGTTGATGTTACATATGATGGGAAATGGGTATTGGGCACGACAGACACTTATTTGATTCTTATCTGCACACTATTTACTGACAAAGATGGGAGGACAAAGAATGGTTTTGGTGGTCGAATGGGCAATAAAATTCCAGCTCCGAGATTATTGAAGCTTACTCCCGTAGATTCGCATATGTCTGGGACAGACAATAAGTTCCAAGGAGGCCAATTCTCATGGGTAAGTTTACCTTATGAATACATGTCTATTCTATTTCTTGTTATTCTTTTTTAGATGATTAGTTGATATTCCATTGATTCTTTTCAGATAACAACTTTTCAAAATAATGAACTTCTTGAATTCAAAATCGCTTCAATAATTTTAAAAGAAAATTAGAATTAGATGAGTTGGGCTGCAAAATAATATATTTTTTATTTTTATATCAATGAGTTGTTTGGCTTCTGTGGAAATCAATTTAAAAGCTACCCTATCTAGCTTCTCATAGATAGACTTCTAGAAGATGGGATTTCTGACAAAGCCCATCTATGTAAACTCACCAAACGCCCAATATCCTTATAGAAGTCCTTTTAGGGTGAGCTCCCCCAAACATACTTTCTATTTGTGAAATGTGAAGGTCCTGGTGAATAAACTTAAAAATAATTTTCCCTTTTTTCTTTCTTTTCCACCCTACTGCCCTGTGCCTGCCCATAAGCAATTAAAAGATTTTGTGCTATTGTGAGCAGTGAGCACCTGCCACCACCACTTTCTGTATTTAAGAAAGTAAACATCGATCATTTGTGTATTGCAACAGTAGTATGTGTTCATTTGTGATAGATTAGATAGAATTGTTATGGTGGGAACAGATTTTGGTTTTGGACATTTTTGCACCCAAAGTTGACTGAATTATCAGGGAAAAGAAACAAAAAGGAGAGGAGAGGGGTGGGGATAAGGGTTTGCTTTAAATTAAACAATTTCTTCATCTTTGTCTTGGAATTTGTTACTTTTCTTACTGCTTGTATTCTTCCTCTTGATAGACTTCTAAGAATATGAAACTGAATGCTTTATCTGGCATGTACATTGTCTTGTAGGTCACTGAGAATGGTAAACAAGAGCGACACCTGGTTGCAACAGTGGGAAAATTCAGTGTGATTTGGAATTTTCAGCAGGTGAAGAACAGTGGTCATGAGTGCTACCAGAATCAGCAGGGCCTTAAGAGCTGCTATTGTTACAAGATTGTGTTGAAGGATGAGTCCATTGTTGATAGTCGGTTCATGCACGACAGATTTGCTGTTAGCGACTCTCCAGAAGCCCCCCTCGTCGTAGCAACCCCCATGAAAGTTACTTCTTTCAGCATGTCTGGAAAGCGATGACATTGTGAAAGTTGCTTCTTTCTGTATCTCTGGCTAGAGATGATTTTGTGAAAGCTTTGTCATCTCTAGTGTGTTGGATAGTTCTGTGCATATGAACTAGCTCTTTGGTAGTGTACCCCACTGATTGTTTGATTTGTTTCGTCTTTGAGTTGATGTTGGTTTCTTGTCTTTCTGTGGTTGTAGTTACATGTTTCTACAATAATGTTGATATTGAAGGCTCTTCTTCAAGATTTGGAAGTTGTGGTGGTTGTTTATGCCGTGTGAATTTGAGATTTGTTTGTTATCTGTTATAAGCTCATGAAGTTGTGGTAGTTGTTTATGTCGTGTGAATTTGAGATTTGTTTCCCATATTGTTATCTGTTATAAGCTCATGTGTGCATCTGAGTTGATATCAATAGATTAGTGCATAATTACAGAGTTTGAAGTTACATATTCAGCAGATCTTGACTCTCGAAGTGTTTGTTTCACAACTTGATAAGCAACCACTGTAAATAAGCAAAATATACCATTGTAATTTAGGCCATTTGCATTTCACCTACTTTATTGATGGGAAAAGAGTCTTTTTTCTTACTCGTCTACTCTCTCCTCTGTTAATAGTTCTGTCTTTTGGGTGCTAATTTAAATTCAAACTTAATCAAATATTAATAAAAGTAGACTTACATTTTGAGTGAAACACTAAACTATATTATAATTTAATTTTATAATAATGTGTTATTAATTAAAATATATTTATTACAACACAGGTATTAATTATGTATATAATTAACTTGAATTCTAATTATGTGTATAAGTATGTTTATAATAATAATAATATATATAATTGGCTTTGGGTTTTGGATGAAAAAGACAAAGAAATGACATTTTAATCTTTTTGTTTGAAAAATAACTTTTGACTCTATTAGAAAACACACAAGTCGACCACTTAATTTGGATGGATAGTGTTGATTATTTTCCATTAGTATGAATGAATTTCTAACGGAATGAAACAAAGTTTTAAACACAAATGCATGCAATCCAAGATCAGTTTGGGTTGTAACTAGTCCACGTTGAGCCATAATGTACATAGTTACGGTGCATACAGTGTGCATCTTTTAAGGAGTGTGCAAGAAAACATAGTTCCCATAGCATATTTACTTGCTTTGAACACTACTGTGATGTAAATAGAAGTCGTAACGAAAATTAGATTGTAAAACTGTAATGGTCACATTACAAACTTCAGCAATGACTTTATTTAAAAGCCAGAAACCATGGTACAAAGAGGGCTCATTAACTGATAAAGATTAGCTGAGTTCAAAAATAGATCATAAATAAATATAAACTAATCTAACAATTTTCACAAGGCATCACGGGCAGCAATCCTGCATACAATAGCATCTGCAAGTGAGGATATCCCCAGTTCCGGGCCAGTTATTTTGTAGTGCTGAAATAGTGAAACCAGGGATTATGTTATAACATTAATCAATAAAAGAGACAAGGTAATAATAAGAAATAATCTTCAATTTTGGCAAGCTATTAACAAATTCACAAACCTTCTGTATTTGGGCTTGGTTTGCTCTTACTGCCAATTCCTCCAAATCAATCTCTTTACCATTGATGAGTTTCTCAACAGCTTTCATCTAGCAAAACAGCAAACTTACTCTTTTACTAGGACAGCCAACGTTTAGTAAAGTAATACAGAGGAATAAGAAACTCTGCGACTTTAATGATATTGTGGTCTCACCTCATCAACAGAAGTGCCAAAACGAGCCACAAGGATGTAAGTTGAGCTTTCAGAGATGCCACACCTTTTGAATGATTCAGTAATCTAGCAAAATGAAAGACTATAAGTAAATTTCGTTAAATAATGAAAAATCTAACTGTGAACTAAAGTTAACTTTGAATATAGTGGTTACATGCTTAGAGCCTGAATAATTGAAAACGAGCTCAGAATGAAGAGTGCGTGTGGTCAAGGAGTCCCGGGACTTGGCCAGAAGCGTCTTATGTGCAGCTGCTAGAACAGGGAAAACTTCTGGGATCTGTCGTGATTGATAATAGTAGTGTCAGATAATGCCCGTCAAAGATCAGATCAGAAAAGCACCAAAGAGAAGAAAAATAGAAACAGAAAGAACTGAACAAAACATGCAAGGCGAGTAAAAGAATGCATGCAAGAAATCCTACAAGTGATGCATTAAGAAATGCTACTTCTGGTTCCAGTGTTCCAGCTTGCATCAAGTCCAGAAGTTCTCTGCAAGATAAGGGAGCTTATTAAGGCACTTAAATTATAGAAATTTGTTTCTTTAACAACACCATAAACAAGACAATGTTTTCGAAAGTCCACTCAAACATTTGTGACCCATCAGTTCACCATATAAGCAAAATGTCATCAGATAAAGCATAATCCTTTATTTTACTTTGAAGTATTTCATATCAGATTATTTTACTAATTAAATATAATCCAAAGAAGGATGGCTGAGAGGACTACCAAACGGTTGATAAGTCTGAACATATCAAATGATCTTCAGTTAGCAAGAACGAAAAATGGCAGCCTAAATTGCAAAATTGAGTGAGGAGAATTTCTCCCAAGTACTCATTTGTTATTGTACATCAACAAGTGTTTTTTATTCCGACACAAACTGCTCAAATATTGAAATTTTGGCAAGCCAATGTCGGGTAAAGAATTGAAGGAGCCTAAACCCCTAAATCATAAATTGATGCATATTGGAATCCATGGTGTGTTTACCAAAACTATGCATTACCCAGTTCTCAATTCTTCTTTATAGAACTTTGACAACAACCAATTCTTCAAAGCTGCCAATTGTATGAGAGAGAACAAAGTACCCATTGAAGTCACCTTCTAAGCCTACACAGAATCCAGACTACTCTATTTCCAAAAGTTGAATGCAAAATTGACTCCTCATCACAATAACAAATCCATAAATGAACCCACAAATTAAAGTCAAATGCAAGAAAAAAGTACATGAGCCCAATTGGGATGGCTCTCAAAACCTCAGTTATTAAACGATTAAAACATGAAACGGTGTTTGAAGAAACATTCCAAATGCTTCAAGAAAAAGAGAGAGAGAGAGAGAGAGAGAGAGTACTTAGCGTTAGTGACGTCTGTGAAGAGGGCGAGAGAGAGAGGGGTTCCATCGATGTCGCAGACCTTCATAGCTCCCTTGTTTTCTGGAAACGAAAGCTAGGGTTTTGAACTGTGCTCCCCCACCCAAAAAAAAGCCCTAGGGTTTGATAATATACGTTAAAAAAAAGAGGGCGCGCCAGGTAGGGGTCGAACCTACGACTTTCTGCTTAGGAAACAGACGCTCTATCCACTGAGCTACAGGCGCTTTTTGACCAAATGTTAAATAAAAATATTATAGATAGTTAAAATTATTTCTATCAAAATGCTACTCTTGCTTGGCATCCAACATTGATATTAATGTTGTCTATGAATTATGAATTCGAGAAACAAACATAATAAGAGAATATAGTTAATTATAATTAATTGATAGAAGGTAGAGTAGGCTATCTACCCACGTTATTTGCAAAAAAAGGATAGCGAGCGGTTTTTCACTTATTAGAGTTATCTATTATCAGTAAAATCATGTAGTATTATAATTTCTATGATTATCTTAAGGATGGATTCATACTAGAGTAAACCACTCGTGATAAGAGGGGAGTTTGATGCAATGGTCTAGCCTTATAGACTAGTTTGTTATTACCTTTCAATAATAATTATGTATCATCTTATCTTTTTAACCCATCAACTATCAGAATTGGAGAATAAAAAATCTTTGTGTGATTTTTGATAATTGATGGATTTTACATCTATACTAGACTATGGTCATGTCTGAGTGGAAGTTGGAGAGGGAGATTAGAGTATGAGTGATGTGGGCCCTACTTATGTCATGTTTGGTTAGAAAATGTGTGGGAGAATGAGTATTCCTCTTGGAGTAATAACCCTACACTATAGGAGGAACTAGCCAAGTTTGAAAATACATGAGATTGTGGAGGCTCTATTTACACACCACATTCCTTTAAAGGCACACCATTAATTAATTTATTTATTATTACAATTTTAATCATAGGTGAAATGACTACAAAGGACAAGTTATAATACACACCATGTGAAAACCCTACATTTAATTATTCTTAAAAGAAAATAAATAAATAAATTAATTAATTAATTTTATCTACAGTCTATCTGAATTGTATATTAGTGTAAAAGTTAGTTTTAAATTGACCAAATTCAATCACTAACAAAGACATTATTAAGAATAATAATTTTGTGAGTGTTCAATATTTATTGTTTATAAGTTATTTTAATTAGGATTCAATATGATAATTATTCTTACTAAATACCTTAATTAAAAATCTTAGTGTATCAATTTTCAGAAACCCACACAAATACAAATACAAAAAAAAAAAATAAAAAAAATTCGTGGCTATGCCACCTGCTTGTTTACATGGTGGTATAGGAACCATAACCCATCATCATTCTTAGAATTTAGGGAAAGCCTTTATTCTTAGAACTTGAAGAAAGAGAATAAGATATAATAATGGAAAGAATGTGTGTGTGTGTGAGAGAGAGAGAGAGAGCCTCAGAGAAGTGGCTCTATATATTCATACCACACATAGTGTTTATACACACTGTGTTCGTGCTTTCAAAGGCTAAAAAAAACAAAAAATAGAGGGAATTCTTGTGGAAGAAGAGAAGGAGGTTGAGGTTGAGGTTGCATATTTTCCTACCATTTCATTATTCCATTTCAATCCTACAACTAAGTAAGAAAACCCTCTCAATCCTCTCATTTCTTTTTATATTTGAAATTTTCAGATTATATGCATATGATAAATTGCCTAAACTTGTAGATAGGATTTTATTTATAATTGTATAAAAAAAAAATTTGATGGTATATTAAATATTGGTAATCTGAAAATCATGATAATATTGTGGAATTCGGACTTGCATGTGTAGTTTATGCAATTAAAAAGATTATTGAAGATGTTATTTGGTCCTTTAAATCTGCCAGAAAGATGTACGAATTTTTAGACAATTTTATACTCAAAATTTGAAGATGATTTCTTCTAAAAAGTTGTTGATAATGATGTCTAGTTCATCCACAAAAGTTTTCAGCAATTATTAAGTTTTGTACGAATTTATACATATTTTTAACCAAATCTGGAGCTATAGGCAGATTTTATTATGTGTTTGAAAAATCATTAAAATTTTTATATTAAACCAAATCTGATAATTTCTACGCAAAACAATGAAATTTGAGAAGTCTAGTTTCATAATAAATTTTTAGATCATGGAATTGATTTATAAATTTAAATATGGAATTAATTTAAGAAAATGTGATAAATCTGTGTCATAAACACTCTTGTAATTTTTAAGAATTATTTATAATTTATTTTTGGAAAATGCTTTATGAAAAATGAAAATAACATGTTTATTGAGTATTCTGTAGATATATATGAATTTTAGAGTTGTATAAGTAATTTATTTATAATTGTATTTGCAAGATATACATTCTGAAAATTTTGACAGATTAAGGAGGAACCAAAAACTATCTCTTCAATTGTTTATTTATAACTTATTTTTGGAAAATTTTTTATGAAAAATGACCTAAACATATTTATTGAATATTTTGTACATTTTCACGAATTTTAGAACTGTATAAATAATTTATTTATAAATTTTATTACCTAAGGTATAACCTGAAAATTTCTGGACAGATTTAAGGTCATCACTTCAATTATTTATTTGGATAAAAATTAATTATTGTGTTGGTCTAATTCATCAAATATTGTGAATTAGTAATCCATGTATGGGTGTATTGTGGTTTATTTAATATTGTGCTAGTTTAATCTTATAGATTAAAAGTCCATGCATGTGTGTAATTATGATTTATTTCTTTTTTTTTTTGTATCTAAATTATTATTTCTTACCATGGTTTAAATAAATTGTTTATTTAAAATTTATACAATTGTTTATTATTGTGTGACATGTGTAATATTTTATGTTCGGATTTTAACGAGTTGGTATAACATTATTGGTAATTAAATTTTGAATTATTGTGAATATCTCAACGAGTAAAGAGACACGAAATTCAACCAATGATACATTAAAATGTAAAAGTGATGGGGTGAGCCCGGTTTAGAATCTTGCACAAGTGAGTTGCGAACCCTAACATGGCACGGGAAGGTATTTTGGCTCTTATCGGTGTAGGCGATATGAGGTTGGTGGTGCGGGTGTCACAACATAGACCGTTCCCTTGGGGTAGACCGTGATGTCACGACTCGGGTACGTAACTTTGGTACGTGGGCATCATTGGTAGTTACAGTAAGTAACATTTAAATATTTGATCAAGGGGGAGTCAGAATTGCCCGTGGCCATTGCTTAGTGGTTGAATGGAAATAGTTCTCCGCGGGGAGTTACTAAATTTATCTAAAAAACTAAATCTATGAAAAAAAAAAAATGTGAACAGCTTCCTTATGATGAAATATTGTTTCCATTTGATATATATTTTTTTGATTTATTATTATTTATTGTTATTATTTCAACTAATAACATTTATTTTATGCTTACTAAATGTCAAGGGGGAGTCAGAATTGCCCGTGGCCATTGCTTAGTGGTTGAATGGAAATAGTGCTCCGCGGGGAGTTACTAAATTTATCTAAAAAACTAAATCTATGGAAAAAAAAAAATGTGAACAGCTTCCTTATGATGAAATATTGTTTCCGTTTGATATATATTTTTTTGATTTATTATTATTTATTGTTATTATTTCAACTAATAACATTTATTTTATGCTTACTAAATGTTGCTGGTTATTCTGTTATTACACATTATTCATGAATTGTGAGTATTATTATCGGGGTGGGCATTTTCGGGTTGTAGTTTCTTATTGAGCTTGTCGCTCACTGGCATTCCCATTGCCCTGGCGTTTTATGCCAGGTACCGAAGAAACCGAAGGAGACATCGAGGCCTTACAAGGCGACACTCAGCCTTAGTTAGCTTGAAGAGTGCCTAGGTTCCATGAACCATTTCCTAAAATTCTCGTTTTTTTTCCTAGTTTTCTTTTTTATATTTGTGTCATTTCGGTTATGTACTAAGACTAAGTTGTGATATAAGAACTTTAAATTCTGGGTTGTTAATTAATGGATGTTAGTAATCTTGGTGGAAATATTGATTTTAAGTTTCTAAATCTTATTATGATGTCCTTAAATTTGGGGCGTCACACACTATGTGTATAATTATCATAAAGGACAAGAATGAATATAATACACATCAACAATCTCAAACTTGTTACTTATGTATTTTGTCTATCAAGAATTCAAAAACCCTAAAACAAAAACCAAAAACCCTTAAAGAAATAACCAAAAATATAGTATTATTGAAGATTTTGATTAGATTCAATAAATGATGCATCTGGCAATACTGATTCGGAACAATGGAGCAAGGAAAAGATTGTTGTTGTTGTTGTTGTTGTTGTTATTTCCTTCTTCTTTTTTTTTCGTTTACTTGTTGAGTGGTAAACCGTTTGTATTAGTTCGATTATCTAGAGTCGAATAATATATCAATGTTCGACTACCTACAACCGAACAAATACAAATTGTATTTGTTCGGATTCATAGTGTCGAACCTAGTATAATTATTCGGTTTGTAAGTATCAAACAAACATCATATATTCGGTTAAAAACAATCGAACAAGTTCATTTAATTTGACTCTGTACTGTCGAACACTTATAAAAAAAAAATTTCTTTTGGTTTTTCCAGAATTGTGCATCCGTGGAATGCAGTAATGTTGGATATGGGGGTCTTGTTGACTACACAAGTCAATTTATTACTAATGAGGTAGTCTCATGTCAAAAATGAGTATTTTTTTTCTTTTTCTTTTCGCATGTTTAGTGACTTTGGTGAATTTGACTTGTAGATTTTCAAGAGCAAAGAAGAATTGCTCGGTTAGGTACGGGGCATTAGAAGGAAAAGTGGGTTTGTGATTGTCATCAAGACATCGGACTATAGTGGTGGTCATAGGACACCAAGGATATATCTTGCCTGTGAGAGAAGTGGTCAATACAGAGCTCATAAGAAATTAAAAGGAAATAATTTAAATAAAAAAATTGTGAAGATAATGGGTACAAAGAAATGTGGGTGTCCCTTTGAGTTGAGAGCTCGTAAGTTGAAGACTGATGATGATTAGATGGTAGATGTAGCATGTGGAATGCATAACCATGTTCCTGTTAAACAATTTGAAGGACATTCATTTGCAGGGAGATTATTTGAGGAGGAAATATCATTATTAGTGGATATGTCCAAAAGCATGGTCAGAAAAAAGAGATTTTGACTACCTTGAAACAAAATGATGCTTTGAATGTAACCATTATGAAAACCATTTACAATGTATGTCATAGGAATAGTGTCATTGAGAAAGCTAAGAGATTACAAATGCAATAGTTGTTGGGTAAATTAGAAAAGCATAATTACATTGAGCGGCATAGGTGTGACAATAACACGATGACTGTCACAGACTTGTTTTAGGCACATCCTATCAGTTTAGATTTGCTCCATTCATTTCCAAAGGTGTTGATCATGGACTGGACATATAAGACAAATCGATATCGTTTCCCTCTTCTTGAGATAATTGGTGTGACATCCACTGATATGTTATTTTCCGTAGCCTTTGCATATCTTCAATTTGAGTGGATTGATAACTACGTTTGGGTGTTAACTATATTGCGTAGTATCCTAGATGACATTGCTATTCCTGAGGCGATTGTCACAAACAGGGAGCTTGCTTTGATGAATGCTATTGACAGGGTATTTTCTACATCTAGATATTTATTATACCAATGGCATATTAGTATAAATGTATTGGCGAAATGCAAGAAAATGTTTAAGAGTAAGGAGGAATGGGACAAGTTTATCTCTTTATGGAATTTGTTAGTACTCTCCTCAATTGAGCTTGAATACAATGAACACTTCGCTAGGCTACTTGCGGATTTTGATACATATCCTAAGGTAGTGCAATATGTGTCACAAAGTTGGTTAATTCCATATAAGGATAAATTTGTTGCCGTATGGACAGATAGTTGTATGCACTTTGGGAATGTTATAACCAACAGGTAATATATATTTGTCTACCTTACACAATTAGTCATTATGATTTTGATTATTTAAACTTAATTATGTTAATTGTTTCCATTGTACATAGGGTTGAAAGTGCACATGCAAAACTTAAATGGCAACTTGGTTCTAATCAAGTCAATTTTGAATGTTCTAACACCAAGATCCATAGTTTGCTTGAGTTGCAACATGTTGATATTAAGGCATCGTTTGAGAAGAGTTTAACCGTTGTACAACACCAGTTCAAACCATCCCATTTTAGAGAGCTCCGAGGCAATATCTTTATTACTGCATTAGATCATGTCTTAGCAGAGAGTAAGCGAGCGAATAATGTTGGCAATGATGCTTCGGTGTGTGGATTTGTTGTTCAACAAACACACAGGTTACCTTGTGCCCATGAGATTACGGATTACGTCCGACAGGGTCGTCCAATACCACTTGATAGCATTAACCCACACTGGAGAACTCTTGAGCTAGTACAAAAGTTGAAGAATAATAAAGTGGAATTGAGTTGTGAACCAAAGTTTGATCTCATACTTAAACGATTCAATGCATCTGATTACACTATGCAGTTGGAAATTTTGCATAAGTTAGGAGAGATTGCAAATCTGCAAAGTAGTTTTCTCATTGAGCTGGATGTGAAGCCCAACCCTCGAGGTAAGTGACATAAGAAAATAAATGTATTTACACGTCGAGACCCATGTACATTTGAGTTAGTTCAGTCTGGACATGATAGCCACTTACCTATGTGCACCCAGATCCCTACATAGGATTCTGTCAAAGTACATAAAAAAATGGCCTACCAAAGAGAAGGTACATGTAATCATTTTTTACTTACATTTTTGTTGATAATAAATTACGTGTTTTGTTGTTCATATGTTGATGCCTTCCCTGTTGAATAGGTATATCAGACTCGTACAACTACGACTTATTCATATGTTAATACCCTCCTAGTTGGATTGAAGCCGTACATACGTCTTATCAAGGATGTAAATGCTGATGGTAATTGTGGGTTTAGGGCCATTGCTAGCTTGATGGGGCTTATAGAGGCTGAATGGGGTCAAGTCAGGCGTGATCTTCTATAAGAATTGCACACACATATAGACCATTACACTCATCTATATGGTTCACATGACAGGATTGAAGAGCTGACCAATATTCTATCATACTTTGAGCCCAATCCAGGGTATCACCGTTGGATGACTATGCTTGACATGGGTCATCTTATTGCATTTTGTTATAATGTGGTATTGTACCACTAATCTGCACAACAATGCCTTACATTCCTCCCCCTACGATCAGTGCCAGTATCACAAGTTCAACGGCGTGAGATTGTTATTAGGTTTGTTAATGGGAATCATTTTGTCCAGGTATATCATTATGATTTGTGTAATATATTTATCATTTTGTACTGCATCGTTCTCATACTTAAAGCTTTGTCAATGTAGGTGTTCATGTTACCGGGTCATCCAGTTCCACCGATAGTTACCAATTGGTGCAAGTTTTATCATTCTTATGCAGCTAGATGGGGTACTGCATATAGTCGCTGAATTGAGCATTTTAAAGAAGTTGTTCATTTAAGGGCAGCTACTAGAGAGATATTTAATTGTATTAACCTTGATGAGTAATGATGTATGTGAGTTGAGTTAAGTTGTAGTTATGCAATTCAAATAGTTACTGATATATTTTTTTAATGATTAACAATTAAATAGTTGAGTTGGATTAAGCTTTGAGTTAATTTAATGCACATGGTACTACTTGTTCATTACGGTGTATCAAACGTAATGGCATAATACTTCCTGTTCATTACCAAAATACAAACCATGAATACTTGTTCACTACTAAATATTGGTAGAGTAATTCTTGTTCATTACAAAACAACAAAAACATTAAAAGAGTACTTCTTTTCCATTATAAAATAACAAAACAAGATTACCACATGACCAACTACCTATCATTTACTCGTCTCCTACAGTTGTATGTTCGAAATGGAATAGAACTAGGTCCAACCTCATCGAGTTGTTGACCCTGAAGAACACGTGCCATCCTCTTAATGGCCTCATATAACCTATTTGGCTCACGAACACTAGCATCATGGCTCGCCTTGATAATAGGATGCACAATCTGTAGTGCGTGATCAATATGCTACATTAAGAACAAATACAATTGTAATTAACACGTGCCATATTCAAAAAAAATGTAAATGATATATGCGTAATATTGTCATACCTCAGCATCCTGCACATCAAATCGACTATCCTGTGCATGTGGGTCAAAACCAAACCGATGTATGGGGTTCTGGATATATAAGTGTGTGATACTTGTATACCACTGCATGTAACCATCAACACAATCAGCTGGATGTCTAACTGGGGTACTCCTCCTCCGAGCAGATAAAACATGATTATCTCAATTTTCCATATATGATCAAGATACTGATACATAACTTTATATCGGCCTGCTGTGACACCTCTAACAGCACGAACAAGGTCGAGTGGTGCAGGTGGGATGGTCTGAACTCTACCAAACTGTCTAAGAACCCTTTTAGGATGATAGGGTTCAACTACATCCAAATACTTCAAACAGTCGCTATAGAATGTGATCTCATGACATAGATGATGTTGACAGCAATCTCGATATGGATCCCAAGTAACCTATGAGAGAAACACAAATGAAATCTACATGAGTGACGTGTAATAAGAAAACTTAATTGAACTAAGAGTAATTGGTATACCTCATCAAATACCAATCTGTCAAGCTCCTCCCGTAACTCTTGTAGGTGTGATACCGTTGAATTAGCTTCCTGACGAGGAGTCCATCGATGCATGTGAGGCAATTGTACAGTATATTCCATATTTTCGTGAGGTCTAAATGGCTGGAAATGCTCACAAATCCATGCCTTCATCATTGTCATGTAACCAGCCATCTGTCGAACAGCTGATCTCGTGATATATCCCAACTGTCAGTATAAATATGCCAATGCAGCTACACCCCAAGCATATGTATGTATATCAGTCAAATCCATCAACAATTGTAAGTACACAACAGGAACTCCCGTCCCACTCTTGTCACTGAACAGTGTATATCGCAATAGAAAAAGCAAGTACGCTTTGGCTGCACAAGCTATGGATTCCTCGGTGTCTGAATCTTTATAACCACTGAATTTGCTCTGTAACCACTTCAGCTTTACTGATTGTCCCCTAGTAGATGATAGCTCCTCAATTGTTTTAGCATCATCAACTCCCACGGAAGCTACCACAAGTGCATGTGCCTGTTGATCTATCAAAGTTGCAGCACTAACTGATCTACCTGTGATGGGGATCCCCAAGATGTTACCCACATCATCCAATGTCATTGCCATCTCACTAACTGTCAAATGAAGATTATTTGTCTCTGGTTTCCATCGCTCAACAAATGCAGATATGAAAATCCTATTCACGAACCGATATGTGCAATGGACCAAAGAAGGTAGGCCTGACTGCTGCATAATGTCTCTAAACCTTCTATTGTTGGTTCTTGACCACCACCACCACTCAAGAATCTTGGACGAATGATTATAACACCTTAAGGGATTCCTCTTCTACAAGGTAAGTAATAAATTTACATAAATAGTTTGGTTCAATAAATAATTAAATGAATCAAACATGGAAAAGAATATATACTACGTTCTGCTTTCATATAACTACTGCAATATGTGCCTTGAAGCTCTTCAGTACTGATGGATCTGATGGCTCCCTAGGAAATGGACCAGTGAGTACTTCCTCAGCCTGATCAACATCAGTAGCATTATCATCATCCCTTGAACCATTATTAATCATATCCTCTTCCAAGATTTGAGGTGCTTCCTCTAACACAATATCATCACCTTGACCTCAACCCCGACCCCGACCCTGACCTCGACCACGAGCAGGATTTGTTAATGCACGACGTCGTCTCTCTGAGGCAGTGGGTGGAATACGCGAAGGGTCATCCATTTCTAAAAATGAAACAGAAAACAATAAAGTTAATAGAAGGAACACAAATTATTTATGTTAAAATACTCACAATCATTCAAATTTTTGTTTCTTTAAGTTTGGAATAACCCATCATTTTTACTTTTGTGTATAAACAAATTTTTAAAATGTAAAAGACAGCAAATTGTTTAGTCTTTTAAAAAGATGTGAGTTGCGTTGTGAAAATACTCCTAAAACAGCTGACATAAGGGCACAACATTTGATAGTAGGAAAATAAAGTTCAAGAGGGTTTAGCTTCAAGAGTTCATTTTTCTTTTGAGCCCTACTTCTCAAAGAAAAGAAAAGAAAAGAAGCTTAACTTGCCAAATTTCCTAGTTCTCACTTGGTTTGATTTAGTTTGGTTTTTAAAATTTTAAAACCACAAAGACTGATTCAATTTTTAATTTAACAATCTCAACTAAGTTTCGATGAGGATAGACCATTCCAATGAAAAATGAAACATCTCACATGGTAATAAATATATCTCTGTGAATCTATTGATTGGCTGCATAGCTGGTGCATTGCTCGTAGATAAATTATACAGTGCATTTTAGAAATTGAGCATCTACAATTTCCAGCACCTATTAGGAATTCATTCTCTTTTTTTTTTTTCCTTTTTTTTTTGCCCCCCTTTTGTTTTTTTGGGTGAAGAATGCATAGTTGTCTTTGTTAGTTACCCTATAAATAACGAAGAAATTATTTATTTATTGTATGCTGAAGAAACATCAAGCTATAGAAGTTTACAATCACTAGTTCATTTACTTGTTAGTGATATAAATCTAAATCATTTCTGTGTGAACCAGATTATGCAACTGTTTAACCCAATTCTGTAGTGTTCAATTTTGGATTTGGACGTAGAACACCTGTGTGCTTTACATATTAAAACACAAAGACTGTTCCATTTCATCGGAGGAATAAGTCTGGCCCTCTAACTACTGTTCACAACAAATAAATCAGTAAGATATGGGGGAAAAAAATTTATAGTGTTCGACAGTACAACATCAAACATGTTATTATAGTTCGGCATTGTACATCCGAATTACTACTTAATGTTCGACACTAAGAGATCGAACATGTTCGACAGAAATGGACCGGACAAACTGATCTTGTTTGAAAGTCAAGTGTCGAACTCCATATTATTCGATAAAAATTGACCGAACAGTTGTTTGGGGTTCGAAATTCCAGTGTCGAATGGTTCGGAAACTCAATCATGCAAATACAAATTTCATGGCAATGGAAAAAACTACCTAAAACCCTAAAATCTAAGCCAAATGAGAACTCATCTACTGTATCTCCAATGTGAGTTGCTTCCAACTGTGTTGAGCACCACCAACGACGTCTTTGATGAGGAAAAAAGTGTATTCAGCAAATGGGTCTTCACCATTTAAACAGAGAATGGAGAGGGAAATAGAATATCGTGGGTGGGTGAGGTGTGTAAGTGGGGTAAAGATGGAAGATTGTGGGTAGATTTTGGGTGGGGTGTGTGAGTGAGTGAGGGTAAAGGTGAAAGATTGTGGTGTGTATTGAGTAAAATATTTATTTATTAAATTATTATAGGTGTGCCTTGAGATAAAATGTGGTGTGTGAATAGAGGCACCCATGAGATTGAGATGCAATCTTATGAGATTAATGGAGTAAAAGACTACTTTACCTCCTTGGCCTATATGACTACAAAAATTGAAGAATAATTATGGAATTTTATACGTTTAATCCCGATCAATTAATACCATCACACTATTTCACAAACAAATACACTAGTTTACCTTACATTTTTAATTTAATACTATCACATTACTAATTTTTTTTATATTCAATCCCGCTGTATTCATAATCTCATCCAATTTAATTTACTAAACAAACCTGATCTATGCTATATTTCCTTTCTCGTCCCCTGTATCACCTAACAAACGCACAAATCAATAAAACTAGCATCATTCCCGTAGATTCACCATCTAAAAGCCTAACAAAACAATCACTAATCTCGATTAACATAACCAATCGCAATGGTTAGAGCCCCAATCGTCACTTACCAACAACACAAGGAGCAAAGTTAAGATCACTATTCATCAATGATGCAACGACCAAAAGCTACAATTGCCAACCATTACCATCGACTAGAGCTATAATTGTCACCGATCAATACAAATGCACTAACGTGACCTATTAACAATGCAACATCTAGATTCACTAGAACCACTCATCATCTTTGCACTAGCTAGAGCCACCAATGCCATATATCATTGACCAGAGCCACCAGTATCACCCATCACTACCAAACATCCCCTTACATTTCCATTTACGTTGCGTTTCATTGAGAAATTTGAAAAGAAATTTAGAAAGAAAAATAGAAAAAATAAATAAAATATGAATAAAATATACTTAAAACTCACCTATTTTTACACAATTTTTTTATTTCCCTTTCTAAATCGTTTCTCAAATCTCTCTACCAAACATAATGTTAATATCCCTCGTCCCCCTTATTAAAACATGTAAATATAGAAGTATGAGAGCCATATAAAATAAAGAGTTAACTACACTAAGGCTTCGGTTGGGAAACTAAATTTGGGGCTTTTTTTTTTGTGACTATTTTAGTCACAAAAAAAAATAATAGATTTTTTAACTTAATAAGACAAAATATCACATCTAACTCATAATCATTATATTCTTCATCTCACAAAAAAGTCAAAAAAACCAAAAATCCTTTCCAAACACTACAACAAAAAGCATTTTTGGCGACGTTTTTTAGCAACCAAATTGAATTTAGTTGCCAATTGTATGTTTTTGGCGACAATATACGTGTTGGTCGCCAAAAAATATACTATTAGCAACAAATATCTCAATTGGTCGCCAAAAATGGTTGGTGCCAACTTAATTTTTTACGCGGGAGCGCTAAAAATGTTTTGGCGACCAAATTAATATATGGCGAACGAAACTGCTTGTCGCCAATTGTGACTTTTTGGTGATGAAATTAAAAGTCGCTGAAAGGTGAATGATATTTATGGCAACATAATGATTTTCGTCGCCAATAAATATTTTGGCAAAACGACGTCGTTTTGAAGCTGTCTTTTTTATTTTTTTTAATGGCCTTTAGGTAAATAAACAAGATTGACCTAATATTCATCTCATTCTACAACCTGAAGCGGCACAGCAGAAGACAAAGAGGTATGCCTTCTATTCCTCTTCTTCGTCTCTCTCTCCCTCTCCCTCTCACTCTCACTCTCTCACACTGTCTCATCTTCATCTCTTTCTTCTTTATCATCAATTTCATTCTCTTGTTCGGCATGGCAGAACACAACACAACATTGATATTGGGATTGATTTTTCCCTCACTCTCTCACACTCTCTCATTTTCCTCTTTGTCATCAACCTAATTTTTCAGACTGATATTCTGATTTTTCAGACTGATATTGTGATTTTCGGGACTGATATATTCTAATTTTTGGACTGATTTTGGAACTGATTTTCGGGACTGGTATATTCTGAATTTCGGACTGATTTTGGAATTGTTTTTTGGATTTTGGGACTGATATTCTGATTTTGTATTTTTTGGGGACTGATATTATAATTTTGGGACTGATTTTGGGGCTAATATTTTCGATTTTGGGACTAATTTTGGAACACAGGACAACACTTCGTTGTTTGTTTGTTGTTGTTGTTGTTCATTATCAAAGGCTCATAGACAACACTTCGTTGTTCATTTTGATTTTGGGACTGATTTGGGTTCAAAATTCTTTTTTTTTTCTTCATAGATTTATTGTCCTAAAATAATATTCACCAATTAAAAATTTGTTATGAATGTGGTCTTTGAGTATTTTCTTTCTCTCATCTGGCATGCTATATTTGCTTTTCATAGTAAACTTTGATTAAGTGTTCAACGTTCTTTATTGATGCTGTGGTTTTGGCACTTTTATGAAGAAGCTAATTTCTTTACACTACTACAAAAATAATTAAAGATCACATTTGGACAAATGAAATTATCTCATTTTTATTGAAAGTGTGATAAAAAAAATTAGATTGATATTTTAATCACACTTAATTTAAGTGAGTGTGATAATATTTATTTTTAATCTCACTCTTTATATAAGTGTGATTATATCTTCTTTTTTTAATCACATTTTTTAAATAAGTGTGATTGTATGTATTTTTTTAATTTTAATTTTATATAAAATAATTTTCTATGCTCTGATCTTTAAAAATTCAAACCGGATTTTTTTTATTATTATTAGTCCATTGCGCAGTACTAAGCAACCCCCCCCACACAACATAATACAATTCAATTCATTTTTTTTTTTTGAAGATTCCCAACCTATCTCTCACTCTTCTCTCTTCAAACCCTAACCCTATATCCTTTGATCGGCGGCAATTCTATGGGCAGCAGTGAAAGGCGAGCAAAAGCGGCAGTGAGCGACTGAGGTATTCACCCAAAAAAAAAATAGAATAATTGAGGTATTGATATTGATTTTGAAGTCAAAGCAGGTGAGATTTTTCAAAGATCTGATTCTGTGAAGTCTAAAATTTGTCTTTCTCATGAACACGGGCACGTGGTTGATTTGATTCATTTGGCGTCGCATTTTCAATGAGTGGAGCAGCAGAGGTATTCTATGCAAGTGAAACAGGAAAATGGGTATGTATATGTTTCTCTATTTGAGTACTCTGTTGCTTTTTCTTTTTTTTTTTCTTTCTTTTCAATCGAACACTTCAGTAGTTGAGGGTGTTAGATTATTTCACAATATGTAAAGCGGGAATGATTTGGGACACTATTTTCATGAGGGCAATGCACGATCTCAAGGCTGTTGAGATAGTGCTATTTTGGAAATGGTATGGCTACAGAGGTTGAGCCTGATGAGGTGAGGTACAATGTTTTAGAAATTGAACAAATTTGATGTCATGTTACAAAGTTTTGATGCTTAGTTAGGAGATATCTTTCCCTTGAATGGTTTTCTGAGGCACTAATCTCCAATGAAGGAGGCTTTTTTGGCATGATTCGTGGCACATGGCAAGAGCTTAAGAATGGATTATTTGATAAGAATAGGAAATATATTTTCCCAACTTCTGTTGTATGATCAAAGAGGCATGGAGTCAGTGGATTATCTTCTCATCCACTGTAGGGTGGCTAGGATGGTATGGTTTTTGTTATGAGATTGATTGTCTTTCCTTGGGTTTACTGAAATACTGTTTTAGACTTCCTCAAATACTCTGTGAAATATTGGATCACATTTTCCTTGTTTATGTTGGTATGCAAATAAAATAAATTAGGTGAAGATAAAGAACTGATATGTAGATTAAGAAGAGTTTTTTTTATTATTATTCTTTTACATGGTTGGGTCATAGGAGAGCTTTTTCGATTTTGTAATAACAAGGATACATTGGTATGGATTTTTATTGTTTTTATTTTCTATATGTTGTGTATACTTGGGACAATATCTCCTTTTGGTGCCTTCAATAATGAAATGGCTTGTAAAATAAAGAAAAAATGTTCTTGTCAGATCATAGGTCTATATCCAACCAAGTCTGACTTGCAACCTTAATTTTTAATTAAGGCCTTTATTGTAATAGTGAGTTTAATTCTCTTTGTTGCATTTTGTTTAATGGATCATTTGTAATATTTAGGTGAACTTGTGTTGGTATACTAAGTTTTTGCCAAGAAATTGATTGTTTTTCTTCTTAGGATATTGGGGTATGTATCTCATTGGTTTCCAATTGGGCAGCTATCTGTTTTTTGGTAACTCTGAGCAAGTGTTGAGATCCAATAAATGAGCAATGATTCTATCTCTTTTGTTTTGGTATATATCTTTATCATTGGAGTCTTTGTCATCTCATTATCTTTTGTTGTCATGTTAATTGATCTTTATTTTTATTTTTTCTGAATGAGACATGTTATTAACTATGCTTCTGGACAGGGATGTGGAAAGAGTTTCACGCAGAATGGTAGGGCATATTGCTCTGTTTACTTTTGTAATAAATGGACCATTTTTTTGAGAACGATGTTATTCTTTGGAAGCAAAGAAGAAAAACTTATTCAAAACCTCCCCCCTCCCCCAAAAAAAAAGAAAAGAAGAAAAACTCAATTCTCATTTATAAATATAAAATTTTATTAAAACTAATAGACAATTCTATTGCAGTGCAATGCAATGCAGCTTATGTTACTTTTGTATTAGCTCAAAATCTCCAGGTTATTCTCATTTTTCCTTTCTGCTAATAACTCCTCAAATATGATGGTTTTATCTGTTTTGCAACTTGTTGAGAAACAAGCATATTTGATGGTTTTGCCTTTGTTGACTTGTATATCCGGTGTCAACAATTCATTGTATTTGTTTGTTTATCTAGAAGCTAATTTGACTGATTGGGATTGCTTTCCTTTGCGAGTTATTAGCCTTTTGGTTTTTATATTTGAATATATGTTGAATTAATCATTGAAATAAAATTCTTATGAAGTAATAAACCTTAGAATTATTATTTTTAATTAGTTTTTTGGTGAAAATTTAATGCCCTAAACCTCTATTATAAATTTATAGATTTTATTTATAGAAGTCAATGTTTAGGTGAGAAGCAATAAGGCTTTATGATGCTGGACAACCGGCAAGAATAGAACAACTAAAAGAAAATAAAAGAAAGGCCATACAAAATAAAAGAAGGAAAAAGATTGAGATCTACAATTTACCCACAATGATATGGCAAGTTATGTGTCAATTTTTTGTTTGTCACAAACTCAATCTTGCAAGGCCCAATCTCATTGCCATATCATTGTGGGACTTAAATTGTGGGTCTTTAGCATTTGTCATAAAGGAAACTCTAATTCTCTATTCTCAATATCTCAAAATTTAATTCAATATTATAGTCTATGAAACTATTACATAAAAGACCTATTTATAGGCATCCAAAAAAATTCTATTTGATAGTAACCAAAAAGAAAACTATCATAATTAGAGTAATAAAACAATAAAACCTATTAAATTATAAATAAGAGGATATCATCAAAATAAATCTTTAATCTTCATCCTATCTCCTTGTTCCCCATCACCGTGTTAATCAAATAGGCAATGGTTATGGAGCACTCTTTATTAATTAAAACTATTCAACCCTCTTAAATTTTTTGCAATTTTGCAGGTCTTAGCAATCCTAATGCCGTCTGATTACATCCCAGGACATAAGATTACTGTACTGGAACAAGCATTCAACCGAAATCTACTGGGATCATTTCTTCGGGTGAAATATATATCCTCTTGTTCCATTTTTTCTAATTGTTCTATATGAAGAAAAACGTAACAATATTTGCATGCATACTAATGTGGAGAATGCGTTACCTATTACATCAAAATAAGTTGTCGGGGATTATGTTCCAAAACTGCCATTTTCATATCATTTTGATGGGAATTTCTATCAGGATTAATGCATGCAAAGCATTTTGTCCATTTTTGAAAACTTTACATCCTTTCTCGAGCTTAAGATGGTATACTAACATTATATTCACATTTCTACTTGGTTGTTGACACAGACAACCTTTTCAAGCCTAAATCGACTTGTAGGAACAAACGGGACCTCAATTGGATCTCCGGTTAGAAAATTAGAAGGAAAATTGTAAAACACAAGACTTAAAAGGCTCGTTCGGGGGCCGAAATTTTGAAATGACAACCGAAACCACCAAAACATGGCACAGACAGTTTTTTCAAGCCTAAATAAACTTGTAGAAACAAATGGGCCCTCGATTGGATCTCCGATTAGAAAATTAGAAAGAAAATTGTAAAATACAAGACTTAAAAGGCCTGTTCGGGGGCCGAAATTACAAAATGACCACCGAAACCACCAAAACCACCGAAACTTGGCACAGACAGCCTTTTCAAGCCTAAATAGACTTGTAAGAACAAACAGGACCTCGATCGGATTTCCGGTTAAAAAATTAGAAGGAAAAATGTAAAACACACAAGACTTAAAAGGCCCGTTCGGCGGCCGAAATTTCGAAATGACCACCGAAACTCCCGAAACTTGGCACGGAGAGCTTCTTCAAGCCTAAATAGACTTGTAGGAACAAACGGGACCTCGATTGGATCTCCGGTTAGAAAATTAGAAGGAAAAATGTAAAACACAAGACTTAAAAGGCCCATTCAGGGGCCGAAATTGCGAAATGACCGCCGAAACCACTGAAACTTAGCACAGACAGCTTGTTCAAGCCTAAATAGACTTGTAGGAACAAACGGTACCTCGATTAGATCTTCGGTTAAAAAATTAAAAGGAAAAATGTAAAACACAAGACTTAAAAGGCCTGTTCGGGGGCCGAAATTTCGAAATGACCATCGAAACCACCGAAACTTGGCACAGACAGCCTTTTCAAGCCTAAATAGACTTGTAGGAACAAACAAGACCACTATTGGATCTCTGGTTAGAAAATTAGAAGGAAAGTTGTAATACACAAGACTTAAAAGGTCCGTTCCGGAGCCGAAATTACGAAATGACAACCGAAACCACCAAAACTTGGCACGGACAGCTTGTTCAAACCTAAATAGACTTGTAGGAACAAACGAGACCTCGATTGGATTTCCAGTTAGAAAATTACAAGAAAAAATGTAAAACACAAGACTTAAAAGGCCCGTTCGAAGGCCGAAATTGCAAAATGACCACTGAAACCACCGAAACCACCGAAACTTGGCACGGGCAGCTTGTTCAAGCCTAAATAGACTTGTATGAGCAAATAGCACCCGATTGGACTTCCCGTTACAAAATTAAAATCAAAATTGTGAAATTCATATCGAGGTTTTTTTTTTTTTTTTGGTCAATCTAATATTGTTTTTTCTTTTTTCATCTGACAGATTGGCAATGGTGGAAAATAGTTCGGGCTGGATCAGAAGATTTGATTGTGTTTTTGGAAATATTTTGACATAGGATTTTGGTAAATGATTTATAAATTAAATGTTTAGCATCAAAATATTTGGTGTTGTGTTTTTGCAAATATTTTGACATAGGATTTTGATAAATGACTTGTTGGTTAGATAGTTAGCATCAAAATATTTGGTTGTGTTTTTGAAAATATTTTGGCATAGGATTTGGTAATGTATTTATGGGTTTGATGTTAATAGTTTGTAAATACTTTGGTATGCATGTTTTAGATTGTCAGAGAATTGTAATTATGTTTATTAGGACTTTTCATAGCTATTAATTTTGAATTATTATGAATGTCTTGCACATGTGTATTATTATTTACATTACATTTGTGTATATATTGTGCATAAGAAAACAGATGTTTTGGATTATTTTGAACAGGAAAATTATTGAAATCAAAATTTATGTAGTGAATTTTTAGTGACAGGTGGTATTTTGGTCACTGTTAATATGTTTGGTGACAACATATTATTTTTGTCGCTAAAAGTTAGTGGTTATTCCAAGAAAACTTAGTTGTCACTAAAAACGTGATTTTTAGCGACCAAATTAATTTTGTCGTTAAATAGCACTTTTGGCAACGCATTTATTTTTCGCTAAAACTACATAGCCTATCCAAATTTTAACCTTTTAGCGACAAACTGTAATTTTATGGCAACAAAATATATGATTTTTGGCGACCAATTTTGCTTGTCGCTAAATGTATATATACGGTGACAATTTTTGATTTCGTCGCCAATACTTTTAGTGACAAGCCTTTGGCGACCAATTGTATACTTGTCGCTGATTATTTTGGTGACAAAATTTGTGCTTTTGGCGACCAATTTTTGGGTCACCAAATGTGTTTTTTGTTGTAGTGAAACGAGACTTTTAAGCCCCAGGTTAAAATAACCAAAAAAATAAAAAACGCAAAACGTCAACCCACTTCCAAGCGAATCTTAAAACTCTCTCAACTATTAATAAATATCACTTTATTTCATCATCTATAAATCCATATATTGAATCCTTAAACTATAAAAGTAATACAAATACATTCTTTTTAAAAAAAATCTAAAAAGAATTTGCAGAGTGTTAAAATGATACATATTTATAATTAAACAAATTAAAATGTATGAATTTATAAGTAAAAAAAAAATAATATGCACTAATAATTAAAAGTTTTAGTGTAAATAAAACCTAAAATAAATAATTACAAATAGTGATCTTAACTAAAAGGTTTTGATTACAAATAAACCTAAAATACATATTGATCCCTATAGTTTGAAAAATTATAAATATTTATTTATTTTTTATTTTTTTTATTAAATTTCTTTTATTTAAAAGAATTAACTAAAAAAATAAAATTTATAATTGTTCTCCTATATAATAATAAAAATTATATAAATTATTAATTAAAACATATTTTTAACATCATTAAAAATTGTTAATTAAGAGACATTTATATGGTATTTATCGGCCTTGAGAAAGCATATGACAGAGTGTCCCGAGATATAATATGGTGGGCATTAGAGAAGAAAGGGGTGACAAAAGGCTACATTGACGTGATTAGGGACATGTATGAAGGGGTGGTGACCACTATTAGATCGCCAGCTGGAGAAACAAATGAATTTCCTATCACTGTAGGGTTACACCAAGGATCTACCTTAAGTCCTTATCTTTTTGCTTTAGTTATGGACGAGTTGACGATAAATATTCAGGATGACGTGCCATGGTGTATGCTTTTTGCAGACGATATTGTGTTAGTGGATGAGACTAGAGAGATAAGCAGAACTAAGACAGAGTACATGGAGTGTAAATTTAGTAACAGTAACAATGAAAGCAGATGAGAAGTGAAGATTGAGAACCAAGAACTACCTAAGAGTGAACATTTTCATTATTTAGGGTCGATTATCACAACAGCGAGAGAGATTAATGCAGATGTGGCCCATAGAATTAAGGCGGGATGGTGTAAGTGGAGAAGTGCGTCTAGGGTATTGTGCGATAAATGAATACCTACTAGACTAAAAGGTAAGTTTTATAGAACGGCTATTAGACCAGCTATGTTGTATGGGACGGAGTGTTGGGCAACCAAGAAACAACATGTAGATAAGATGAGTGTGATCGAGATGAGGATGCTAAGGTGGATGTGTGGTAAGACTAGACAGGACAGGATTAGGAATGAGTGTATTCGGGAATGGGTAGGAGTAGCATCGATAGAAGATAAGTTGAGAGAGAATCGTTTGAGATTGTTTGGTCATATTCAACGGAGACTAACAGAGGCAGTAGTGAAGAGATGCGATACTGTAACGGTAGATGGAAGTGTTAGGGGACGGGGTATGCCTAGATTAACGTTAACTAGCGTTATAAATAGAGATATGAATCTACTTAATTTGACTAATGAAATGGCTTTTGATAGGGTCGCGTGGAGAAGAAGGATTCATGTAGCCGACCCCATTTGATGGGACTTAAGGCTTGATTTGATTTAGTTTTGGTTTGGTTTATTAAAAATTGTTAATTGACTTGATGATTTATTAATAAAAGAAACGATTTATTATAAAATTAAGAATTTTAAAAATAAAATATAATTTTTAAAATTATAAAAAACTATTCATATTTTAATCAAATATAAGGTGGATTTGTAATTTACCCCTTTTTGTTTTTAACGTGGTATATGTGACCATGTCAAGTGTATTGCTCTATCTTCATGCACAGCCCTGGACGTGTCAACTCGTTTCAGACCCATCGCCATTCATCCTCTCTCATTCCCAATTCTCTCTCTCTCTCTCTCTCTCTCTCTCCGAACTTCCCATATGCACCTTTCTGCAACCCCTCCCCTACAATGTCCCTCACCTTCTTCCTCCTATGGCTCTTCACCGTGCCCTTCACTTCCCATGCCTTCTCTGCCCCACCCAGAGGTAACCCCATTCCCTCTCTCTCTCTCTCTCTCTCTCTCTCTCTCATGGTTTTCCCAATGCAGGTTTCCTCCTAAGCTGTGGCTCATCAACCAAGCTAACACTAGGCCGCCTCGACTACATCCCCGACGAAGGTTTCATCTCCGTCGGCAACAAATCAGCCCTAAAACAACCCAATCTCCTTCCCATTCTCTCCACATTGCGCTACTTCCCCGACGCTTCTGCTCGAAAATTCTGCTACAAACTCCCGGCGATTAAGGGCGAGAAGTTTCTCGTGAAGACGATCTACTACTACGGAGGATTCGACGGAGGGGATTCACCGCCGGTATTCGATCAGATAATCGACGGCACGAAATGGAGCACGGTGAACACGACGGAGGATTTTCGGAATGGGCTTAGCTCGTTTTATGAGATTGTTGTGACTGCTCATGCGAAGACTTTGAGTGTGTGTTTGGCCAGGAATGAGAAGACGAAGTCGAGTCCGTTCGTTTCGGCGATTGAATTGCATCATTTGGAAGGGTCTCTGTATAATTCGACTGATTTTGGGAAGAATGCTCTCATTACTGTTGCCAGAAATAGCTTTGGATATCATGGGGATACCATTAGGTATGGTAACTTGTCGTAAATGAATCTATTTGTTTTGTGCTTGTTTTTTTTTTTTTTTTTGGTTGTGAAAAAACTCTCTTCTTACATAATTTTTCCATAGAATTTATGATCATTGAAACTTAAGCTATTTTGATATGCATTTTGTTTTAGATTTTATTTTATGTACAATTTTTTTATTAGAAAGTTGTCTTGAGTTTGATATGAATTTGAAGATATCTTGAGTTGTGAGCAAAAACATTAGGGTTTCAGAAGGCAATCTTACAATTGAGTTTGGTGAGAACATAATTAATGCTGTTTGAATTTTAGATTTGTGGAGGTAAAAGAAAAGAAAAGAGAAGAGGATAAAATGAAATGAAGGAAACTATTGGGTTGGATTAGAAAAATTAGAAAGAAAAAAAAAATAGTTGTTTGTTGATTTTTTTTTTTTTTTGGGTTACTGATAAAAAATAAGTAGAAGTAATTTCATTTTTTTCCTTAACAGATTCACAATCCAAATATAAGAAAAAATTGCAAGTAGAGGGAATTTATATGATGATGTTACCTCATTGAAAATGGTAATAGTCACTTTTTTCAGAAAAAGAAAAAGAAAAACACAGTTAAGCAATACCCTATTCATAATGCCACTTTTTTACATAGCTTAAATGTAGGCTTATGAAGAACTCAACATTTATCTCTTTATGGGCTCTGCATCTAAATTTTAATCTATGTACAGAAATGCTTGATTGATTTCTGATTTCTGATATTGAACATTGAACACATCAAACTAGTTTTCCAGATGACCAATTCAACCGGTTCTGGCAACCATTCAATGATGACAATCCTGCTGTAGAAAGCCACTCTAACATCACCACTTCAGGGTTTTGGAACATGCCACCAGCAAAGGCATTTGCAAGCGCAATCACAACAAGCCGAGGGAAGAAACTCACTGTCCGATGGCCACCATATTCGCTCCCAAAAGGCAACTATTACATTGCACTTTATTTCCAAGACAACAGGACCCCAAGCCCATATAGCTGGAGAGTTTTTAGTGTCTCTGTCAATGGCAAGGACTTTTATGCCAATGTCAATGTCACTTCAAATGGTGTGACCATCTATGGCACTGAGTGGCCTCTTTCCGGGCAGACTGAGATTGTCATGACTCCGGCAAGTGATGCCCGGGTTGGGCCTGTGATCAATGCTGGCGAGATCTTTCAGATTTTGCCCCTCGGCAAAAGGACTCTTACTAGAGATGGTGCCCAAGTTTGTTTAATTTATTTCAGGTTAAATACACCGTTGGTCCCCATAATACCTACTCTGTCATTTTGGTCTCTAATATTTTAATTGTGTCAATTTAGTCCCCGATTTATTAAATTGGCGTTTAAAATGGTTCGCAGCGTTGTTTTTGTCCAAATTTTATGACAAAAACAGTGGTCTTTCTATCCAAATCAGGACAAAATTTAGATGGAAACAGCGCTGGGATTATTTAAACATAAATTGGGAACCAAATTAATCGCTTGTTTGGTGTAGCTTCTTGCAAGCTAAAAGCAAGTAATCAAAAAACAAAAGCTAAATGCAGCCCTCACCTAGCTTCCCTATAATTTGCTTTTTTCAGCTTATTTTTGCCTCATAAGTTGTAATCAGAAGTTATACCAAACATTTTGGCACATAACTCCAAAATATATAATAATGATAATAATAATAAAAGAAGAAGAAGCTAGAAGCAACCTCATAAGCTGCACCAAACAGTCATACAATTGAAATCGGGTACCAAAGTGAAACAAAGCTTATACTTGGGACTGGTATAGTATTTAACCCATTTGTTTGTGTCCTTCACAATAACATCAATGGATTTTTTTTTTTTTGGTTGAGTTTGGTTATTTGGGTATTTTGCAGTGATGGCTATAGAAGATTTAGCAAGAGGCTTTAACAACCCGCCTCCGGATTGGCATGGTGATCCATGTCTACCTGTGAACAACGCATGGAATGGAGTCGCATGTTCTGATAAAGGAGATTTTGCGCGAGTCATTTCTATGTAAGTTGATTAAATTTACTAAAAACCAAGATGAGCAATCATGATGCAGATAATGAATATTTATGTATGAGGTTTAATTTTGATTCGGTTATAACTCGAGTGCTTTGCTTTTTGGTATGTGAAGTAATCTAACAAGTGTCGGGCTCACTGGGGACTTGTCTGAGAGCATAGACCGTTTAACTGCACTTAAGAATCTGTGAGTACTTGGCCCTGTTTATCGAGTAATTATTTCGTGTTCTGGAACATTCCAAATCACTTATGGTCGCCACATTGAAACTAGCTGACCTGGATCAATGCTGATGTGGTGGTTCAGAACACTGAATAATTTTGCATGACACTGTATTTCTGTTCATTGCAATGTTTTGCATACAGTTGGCTTGGAGGCAATAAACTCTCAGGTTCAATCCCAGAAATGGGCTCTTTGAAGGCCCTAGAGACCTTGTAAGTTCAACAGCAAATGTTTCGTTTCCACTCTCTGCTCTTATTTCTGTTTTCTTAAATTATCAGCAACACCTGAGTCGGCTTTGTTTGTGTTCTGACAAAGGCATTTGGAGGGTAACCAGTTCCAAGGACCGATTCCCAAGTCATTAGGCCAACTTCCTCTACTCCGGGAAGTGTATGTTTCTACCACTGATAAAAGCCATTTTACAATGAAATCATATATAATCCGGTTGCTTTAATTGTAGCTTACTTGGTGGATGGCATGCTTTTGTTTGCAGATTTCTCCAAAACAACAAGCTTGATGGTAGCATACCTGGCTCCCTAACGAAGAAAAATGGCATAAACATTCAGTAAGAACAAATCTCCACTTTGGATTATACATTTCCTATTAAAAACTCATTCTAATGCATCCTTGACTATGTTGCTTGATAGAGCTATTTTTATGGGGTACCTCGGCTACTCATGCCAAGCTTGCATGATTATTTAGCTTTTAATCCATAATGCTTTTGCTTCAGGGTGTCCCCCAGAAATCGTCTTTCACAGGCAGCATAATGCTTAAGGGAGGAGCAACCGATTTTTCTAAACCGGTTTTGAGGTGATTGGGAAGTTTTAGGCTCAAACGAGATCATAAGCTTGGATGAGGGAGAAGACAACCATAGAGGGTTGGCAGAGAGATATACATAAACCCCAATTCAACTGTTTGAATTGGAATGGTCCGTACTATTTTTACATTGTAAATTATGCAATTTTAGCATCATAGTGCTGATCAGTCAACAATTTTTAAGACACAAATTTGTGGTAATGAGTGCTCAATCTAACTTATTACCTAAAATTTACTTTCAGATCAGTTCTTGACAGTAATCCATGATCTAACCTTGTATGTTATGCTAATCATGCAACAAGCATGGGTTTAGCAGACTATGATTCAGGTTTCGATGCGAGTTGCTTAAAAATTCTTTAGAACATGCAGGATCAACAGAGCTTAACCAAGACTCGGCATTGTTATCAATGCCTTGGGGCATTAGTCTTTCTCTGGCTGGTATATATCTCTATACATCTTAAAATGCTTTACTTTTAATTCTGTTTTTAGTTGTTTCAGATATCACAGGATTGAAATTTCCATTGTTAGCTGATTTTATCCCCCTTTTATTTTGTCATCATGCTAAACATGTTAGTTGATAGGGATATATATATATATATATATATTTAATTTCTGATATTGGAATATTGAACAAACACGCTGTAGTTATTTTCTCATCATGCTAACATGTACTTGATAAGGGTCAATGTGATTTTAGATAATGCAGGATAATGGTGCGATTTCAGATGAATACAGGGGTGTTAATGTAATTTATGCGAAATAAAAAATTGTCTTTGGGAGTTTCTATTCTAAGGACAAACAATTAGTGAATTCTTTCTTGATCACAATTTTATCTCCAAGTCAAATTAACATTAAAAACAAGTTCTATTTTTTTTTTTTTTTTTTCCAATTTCTCAATATACATTTCTCCTTTCACCCCACCGCTAACTACTACTAGAAGCCCCTCCAATAGGCTTACCTCTCCCCTCTTTTCAACCACCCTCAATCCCTAACTTTCCCACCTTACCACTTCTAAATCCTTTTTCGAAAATCTAAATTTAAGGTTTCAAATTTAATGATAGAGAAAAAGAGAAAGGAGAGAGAGAAATGGCCACAACAAAAGGTCGAAAGTGGGCGATAATTAGAGAGTCAAGCATGGACGATTAAGAAAAGGGTAATGATAGAAATCACTAAAAGTGAAGCTCTAAAGCAACCACTAATGATGTGGTATTCATTTTTTTTAAAAAAAAAAAAAGACACAACAATACTGTGGTAATGGGTGAGATCCATTGCTACATTATTAGTGATGGTACTAATTAGTACTCTCACTCATTTTCTTTAAGAAAATAGTAGCCAACAATAGTGAAAGGTCGGGAGTGGTGTTGGTGTCAACAATTTTTGATGAGACAAAAGGAAGTTGGTGGGTGAACAAAAACTTAAAATTTTAAAAATTTAAGATGAAGGGTGTTGTTGGAATAAAAATGAATATTTAAAGCACCTCTAATAGCTCTATTTTGATATATCAAATGAACTTTACTTGATGGGTCAAAAGTTGACCTTCATTAATTTTTTTTCTTCAAATAAAAAAAAGAAAAAACCTAATAGTACACAAAGTCTTCATTTAGCATTTCATCTAGCATGTCAGGTTTTTTTGGCTATTTAAGTTATAAAAAAATAAAATAGATTTTTTAACTCAGTATTACTTTGGCAACATGCTAAAAATGCAGCTTTTAACTTTTTTAACTAAAAAAGTTAGGTTTTTTTTATCCAAATCATTATCCAAAAAGCTAACTTTTTTGGCTAAAAAAAAGTCAAAAATCAGTTTTTTATCAACTTTTCAAAATACCACAAAACATTACATTTAACCCATAATCTTTTTAATTTTTTTTTCACAAAAGTCAAAAAATCTATTCAAAATGAAATTTTTTAACCCCAGATTAAAATAGTTAAAAAGTTAAAAAGTCAATTCACACCTCAAAGAAATCCAACAGAATATAAATTTTTAAAATAATATAATAATATATCTGATATATTGAATGGAGAATTTTTATATTAAATTAACATATATTAATTTGTCACTTAACTTTTTAAAAAAATTTACATATCAAAATTTGAAGATTTAGAGACACATGCCCTTACAGAAAGAAAAAAAATTGATATTTTAACATGTGTAGCACAGTGAAACTGAAAGAAATTAACGTGGGGGAAATAAGACCAAATAAATCCTTTGCCTCATTGTCAAACATAGCGTGCGCACCAGGCGCAATTTATAAAATCCAGGAAAGTGTGATTTTTACCTATCTCCTCCTCCATCTTTCTCGAAGCTCTACTGTACAAACCTTCCACCTCCCTGCTCAAATACGCGCGCGCGCATATATATATATATATATATACAGTTGCAGTTTGTCGAATGTTGCCTATAAATCCAAGCTCAATCTTCTCCCCGTCAAAATCCACATTCCTCTCTCTCCCCTCTCTCTCTCTTCCCTCTTCCGCCGCCGCCACCACCACCACCACCACCACCGTCCGCTGCCGCGCAGCCGACTCCCCGGCGGGCCCCTCATTTCCACGGTGGTTATTCAATTTCCCGGCCTCCATTGATGTCTCTACTAGTATCCCCAAAATTAGCCCCGACTCCGACTCTGTCATTGTGGAGAGGCGAGTCGCGAGTAACAAGAATAACACCAAGGTCAATGCGAAGGAGAAGCGTTGGTCGCGTGATAGAGAGAGCTACTTGGCCGACGATGGCGATGCTCTCCCTCTTCCCATGACCTATCCCGACTCCTCGCCGGTTTCGCCTGACGAAATTGATCGTCGACTCCGCTGCGATCCCCAATTCGAGGTTTGATTCCTGTTTTGGAACTTCTTGCTGTTTGTTTGGTTGCTGAGAAAATTGTGGAAAAAGGAAAGAAATTGCATAGTCAATAATATCATGTTTTAGATACATTTGAGATTGTTATAACTTGATTGAGATTAGTTCAATTATTTGTAGCTTGTGAACTTTGTTGGTCTAAATTAATTCTTGAACTCACTTGGTTAATTTAAATCAGTCTAATTTGATTGTGAACAGAAAATTGATTGAAAAGATACTATTTTTTAGGTGTTATTATCTTAAATGAATGACAAGAAAATAAGGCCTGCAATTAAAATTATCTTCACTGTGGAAATGTAAATGAACTTAAGAAAAATTATATATAAAAAAATAAAAAATTGTTGATGTAATTCATCCTATAACTTTACAAAAGGAAATTGTTGGATTTGCGGTTCATATTTGTAAATTTTTGAAATTTTCTATTAGAAGCTCTCTGGTGACTGGTTTTGTGCTACTATCCATGAATCATGAATGTCTGGTTGTGCTTGGATTTCATGTTTTGAAATTAGTTTGATTAAATTTTGGGGTTAAATTTCAATGGAGGTATCTATGTGCATCTGATTGTCAGTAATGTTTACTTTTGGAGCTGTAGGATTGTAAGGAAGTGGTATATGAATGGACTGGAAAGTGTCGGAGTTGTCAAGGGTCAGGTTTTGTCAGTTATTATAATAAAAGAGGGAAGGAGATTACCTGCAAATGCATACCTTGCCAAGGAATTGGTACTCTTCTTGTTCCTTCTTGTCTCGTACTGCTGCATTATTAAATGTTTGTCTGTTCAGTGCATTCTTCTTTGTTAAGAATTAAAAAGAAAAAAAGAAAATATTGGCTGGCCATGTTTCCAAGCATATGCCTACACATATTATACAGTAGAGACAACTCACATGGATGGATGTTACTTCTGTCTATACATATTACACCTCTAGATACTTGGTTTCACTCTTTATCTCCAAAAAAGAGAGTACATATTATGTGGAGCTTCTAGATTTCTCATTCCATTTCCCATATTTTGTTGGTATGCAAGTCCACCAATATGCTCTTTCGAATTGTCGGAATGAAGATTCTATTGGCACTGTTTTAATAGCTTATTATTGTGGTTAATGTTTTAAAATTGATCCACAGGATAAGTATTCACCTATGAAATAGATAAATGTGTGGAAGCATGTAAATTTTTAACTATATAAGTTTTTCCTCCCTTTTGGAGGAGCTTGAGTTTGACTGTTTAATATTGGTCGCTACATGGAAGCTAGATTTTCTTGTTGGAGTTTTATAAAGTATGTTCAAAGGAGGGTGTGTCTCATAGTTGCAATGACAAGACTGCGTTTGGATCTTAGATTTGTGAGGGAAAAGAAAAGGAAAGAGAAAAGATAGGATAAGACAATGAATTGGAAAAAGCTAATTTTTTCTCTTTTTTTGGTTGGGTTTGTATAATGAAAGAAAATGTATAGATATTTGTCAAAAAAATATATTTTTGATTTAGATGCCCATAAAAAATGAATATGTACAAGTAAATCCGTTTCTTTTCATTTCCCTAGACAAATCCAAGATCCAAACATAGTGTTAGAATTTATCTCCACCTACCACCTCCACTATCACACACTCCACACCTACCACCTCCACTATCACACACTCACTTACCACCTCCACTTCACTCCTACACCTACTACCACATTTTCTTCTATATATAGGAATTGTAAACAAACAATCTACATATCAATCAATGAATCAATAAATACATAAATTCTTTCATGGTATCAGAGTAAGGTTAAAGAAGCTAGTAATTCTGCTTCCCCGGCGGGCGGCAGCCTCGCCTTGGCCGCCCGCCGGACCTCTACACACTCCTTCACTCCGCTGCCAGAAAGTCATAGCTGAACTCTTCTCTGCCTCACACATATTTGTTCATCAATGGCGACATCGAGCCACCATCGTCTCCTCCTCCAATTGTCAATCATCCTCGCCTTCTACGCCGGCGCCACCGCCGCCTGGGAACAACAAGTCCACATCCTCCGATTCGCACGCGTCATTCGCAGCCGTCACAGGAAGCCCACTGAGGTTCAAGCCCAACCCTCACCGCCGATCAAATCCACCGGCGAGCCATTCCCAAATCAACGGCTCGGCTCTCATTCAACGGCGCAGCCTGAGCCATTCGACGGGACAGTTTATTTCCAGTGTGTGCTGGAAGCAGAACTCAGGCATGCTTGTTGCTGCCAATTCCAGTGGATGTATAAAAGTGCTGCAGATGGTGTGAACTAAAAAAAAAATATAAATAAAAAATTCTCATCCGACTGAAGAAATGCAGTCCTCCTCTGGTTCCCCTGAACGTGTTCTGGCTGGTTTAGTGAGTAGCGTTCTCTCGCAGCACACCCCCGATGTTAACTCTTACAGGCCTTTTGCTTCTCTCACATCTGCTTTTCCTACTTGGGCAGTGGACTCACGTGGGTGGTAATTTGACCCACGGTTTTGATCAAACCCAGCCTCTAGTTTCAAAGAGGCACAGAGATGCTCCACTTTTTCTACTCAGACACCAATCTTCTTTTCTTTTTTCTTTTATTTCTTTATTTATTATTATTATTATTATTATTATTATTATTTTTTTAATCTTCTTTTTGAAATCATAATCATCTCTTCCACCCAAACCTCTTTCACATTCCTTTTATTATTTTTATGCACACACTCAGCATCCAAACCCATCAAACCAAACCCACTTTTATTCTTTTTTTTTTTTTTTAATCATTATATAAGAGAGGAATAGAAGAGAACAAGTTGCGATAAGATTCAAAAATCAAGCATCACAAATAATTGAAAAATATATTTCTACTAAGCTAACCATTTTTTCTTACCAAACATGAAATTCTGAGAACAACGTTATTCATCCATTTTGTTTTCATAATTTAATATTCTCCATTGGTCTGTATTCCATGGATCTCAATGGAAGTATTTTAAGAAATTAAAAAATTTACAAAACACAAAAATTTAAATTGAAAATTATAAAATTTTAAAGTCTTCAAATGATTGTAATAATATTTTGTTGAACGTACTACAATGATAAAATGGTATAATTTTAATTAAAATATTTTCACTATTGGGACTATCAATTTTAACTTATTATATTTCATCACATTTTAAATTAATTCGCTAGTGGTGATTGACCTATTATTATTGTTGTATCTACAAGGATACACATTTTTTTTTTTTTGGGAACATCTAGAAGGGTACACATTGAAGCTATGCATTATTGGCCTACGATTATTTCCTGTACTATCATCATTTTTTTCTATATTTTATTTATTTTATTACTATATTGTGTGGATGAAAGTGTATAGGACGAGAATAGCCTTGTAAAAAAAGATAAGATCTGAAATAATTCAAAGGAGACCTAGAATTTAAATGACTTAGAACTCTTTTCAAAATTATGTTGAAAAATATATTTTAGATAAATTACATTGATAGTTCCTATATTTTGTCCCTTATTTTATTTTGATTCATATACTTTCAATTAACTCAGTTTTGATCCTTAATTTTAAATTTTATATCAATTTGGTCCAATTGATAACACTGTTAGTGTTTTTGATGAAAAATGATTGTTGAATTAATTGTGATTAACTCACTGAGTTTAGTAATCTTATAATTTTTCCCCTAAAAGCATGGCATATGCCACTTATTTTCGTATTTTTCATTAAAAAATGCTAACAATTGTGATCAATTGAACAAAATTTAGACAAAATTATAAATTTAGTGTTAAAATCAAATCAATTGAAATTACAAAGACTAAAATTACACAAAGATAAAAATATAGGGACTACGAACATAATTTGTTCATAAATTTTTAGTCATGATTTTCTCAACCATTATCACTTCAGTGTTTTCCAAAGAATTATCACTTAATTTTGATAATTATTTTGAAATTGGACATTTGGATAAAATCACTCAAGATTGAAGGCAATGTTTCACTTGGATGAGTGACCCTATCCTCATTTATAAAATTGTAATTTTTTTTAAACTAGTTGGACCCCATGCGCGTAGCATCATAGTTTGTCAAAACTATACTTTATTTTTCTTAATTTTTCAAATAAATGAAACATATCCACACCAAGAACTATGCTCATAGGCTGTGTATAGACAAAGATACAAATATGATTAACTGTTGATAAAATACAAAAACAACATGTTTAGTGTACTTGGGTCAAGGATTTGCTTGCTACAAGATATATATTCACGGATTGCATGCATTAATGTGGCTATTGGAGGAGCTAACTCGTCATCAAGAAATGTAAGCACGATAATGAATATAAGATTGATTAGAAATTCTGTCCTCTACAACGTTATGACACCACCATACAGTGTCTTCACCAACGGTCTGACACGACCATACAGTGTCTCCTATCCTCTTTTATTTTTATGTATTTTCTTGTTTTGTTCCTCTCTTCAAACTCAAGTTGGTTAGTTTCTATCCTCCTTGAGTTTGCGGGGGGCTGTTAGAATTTATCTCCACCTACCACCTCCACTATCACACACTCCACACCTATCACCTCCACTATCACACACTCACCTACCACCTCCACTTCACTCCTACACCTACTACCACATTTTCTTCTATATATAGGAATTGTAAACAAACAATCTACATATCAATCAATGAATCAATAAATACATAAATTCTTTCACATAGCAATTATTAATTGCAACAAATTCTTTAGGTCTGTCCACACTCAACTTTTGGGGGGTTTGTTACTGTTCAATATAGTATCATGCAACCCATATAAATTAATAGTTAATCAAAATTCTGATGTACCCCAAACAGCGTGCATATTTGCGTGTGTTTCCTTTGCAAAGTGGGATTGTTTTGAGGTGCATTTCCAAACTTTCCCCATCTTTGTATTGCTTCTTTGACTTACATGGCATGACAGTTTTTGGCCGTTGTATTCCAGGCGAAATAAGAAGATTTTCATAACATAGGCCCCAACCAAAGATGAATCACTTTGGCAATATTTAAAACCATGACTAGTACTTCCATTTGTTCTGGTTTATATGTATATTTCCAAACTTAATTACGGAACACGAGAGATTAATATATTAAATTGTATGTTGATTCAAACAGCTAATGTGAACGTATCTGTATTATTACTCTTTTAGACTTGTGGATTCAGAGTACATCAGCTTGAAAGCATGGACTTCATAATTTTGAATGCCCATAATTGTAGGTTTTGTGCAGAAGATAACAGCACGCAAGGATATTGAAGTGATGGAGGATTTGGACAACGGAAAACCACCTTGACCCAAACAAATGCTACTTCCTTTCTTTTCCTTTTCTTTTTCTTTTTTCCAACTCGGGAATCTTTGGTAAAATTATTCGATTGAGTCCTTATCTGCCCTTGCACCATTATTCATTGTTGTAATTCTCAGCTACCTTTATCTACATTTTTCAATTTTTTTTGAATTACTAGGAAACCTTTTCAGAAGGTGAAAGGAAACCTCTACAGAAGGATATGTTTGTAACTTGCAGAAAGAATCAAGGAGCTTATTCTTTTCCTGTGCTTCATTCATTTCTGTATTCACCCCCCCTCCTTTTTTCCTTTAATCTTATCCGTCCATTCTGGAATCTTTTGTTTGATTGTTGAGTGCAAGCTGTTGAGGAATAAAACTAAACTTTTCTTTCTCCTCCTAACTTCAGCATCAGATTTATATATACATCATTTGCTCCTCAAATAGGATATCAAGGCATCTGGATCTACCAATCCAAGAATAAGGCCCTGTGCTGTCTCCGCTCTCATTCTCACGAAGCTCTTGCTCCCATTGGTCAACACAACATCAGGAAAATGTCAAAAGCAAGTTTTCTTGACTTCCAATACAACCTTTCGAAAAGGAAGTTCTTGCGGACACCGACCCGAATGTTTTCCTTCGGGGACAGACAAAACAGCAGCTTGTTACCAGGCTACATGCCAAATCCGGATGAGCTGAAGTGGGTGTTTGACAAATTTGATTCCAACAAAGATGGGAAGATCTCTCCAGACGAATACAAGGCGATACTGAGAGTGCTCGGGAAGGAAAACATGATCAAAGAGGTACCCAAGATATTCGAGGTTGTTGATTTGGATGGCGATGGATTTATTGATTTTAGCGAGTTTGTGGAGCTGCACAAGAGGGAAGGCGGGGTGAAGACGACGGAGATACAGTGTGCGTTTCGGACATTTGATTTGGACGGGGATGGGAAAATAAGTGCGGAAGAAGTGTTCGAGTTATTGAAGAGGCTGGGAGAGAAGTGCAGCTTGCAAGATTGTCGGAGAATGGTGAGAGCAGTGGATGCGAACGGGGATGGTGTGATCGACATGGATGAGTTCATCACCATGATGACTCGCACCATGAAGCTTTGTTAGGCCTGTTTGGTTTATAACAACCTAATATTGCTAATAAGGTGATCAAAACCCCCACTGTGATTGCAGTGTATTATAATTATTAAGAATATAATATTATTCCGGTGCCATTCAAGCATTCTTCGAATCTCCTCTTTTTTTTGGGCCAAAAAAAACAAAAACCAGTTCTATTGGGTCCTCTGTGGTTGCTCTTTGTCCATCTGTGGATGATTTGAATTTGAGTTGGCAGAAACATTTGGTGGGTGCATTTCCCCTCTTTAACACATTTATTTTCTCAATTAAAAAAAAAAGTGATATATTAATTTAAAAAAAATTTTTTTTTTTAGTCACCAAAGAAAAAGCTTTGTTTTGTTTTCTCAAAACCAACCTACTTCATTTGTCAATCAAAATCAAGGCAAACTCTGAAGTAGAATGAGCAATGCAATAAGATTTAGCAGTAATTTGTGGTTCACTTGAGAATTCATCATCTAGGAAAAAGAAAGATTAACCCAGGTCTTCAATGTTACAAGATACCTCTTAGGGCCTGTTTGGTGTAATGTTTTTTACAAGTTGAAAGTAGATAATCAAAAAAAAAAAAAAAAAAGGAAAAAAAGTCCCTCCTCCAAACTTTGGAACAATGAATTTTTTCCAGCTCATTCAAGTTATGTTTTTCTCATAAGTTGTACATAAGAATTACAACAAACATTTTGACACATTCCCAAAATAAAAATAAAATATAAAAGCTATAAGCAGTCTTCATAAACTGCACCAAACAGGGCCTTTGCCACTCAAGACCTATTCTTTGGAAAGGAACATGGAATTCCCTCAATAGAACTACAGATAGAAACATAAATTGAGTAAACCAGTGAGCCAAGCTACAAGGGGAGCATACCCCAGGCAAAACAAGACTATCCTGAGCAAAAGCTACACAAAGCGCTTCCACAATCAACCAAACAAAATGTTCACCTACTCAACTACTACACCATCTCAAGAAAAACAAAATTGGGGAACCAGCACAATAAATTATTGTCAAACCGACATCACATCACCAAGCAGCAAAAAAAAACTACTTCCAAGAATTTCACAAGCAACAGCAGCAAACCAGTCCACTATAGCAATAACCTACTTTTTCATCCACAAAACAAGTTAAAACTGCAGTAGTAACGGTAACAAGGCGACAACATCAACATGCAACAACATTAGTGCTACCCCAAGCTGGAAGACATAAATTTGTGTATGAACTTGGACACGTAAATATGTCTTGGGCACATCTTACCAGAATCCCACAAACAGAGACCTGAAAAAAAATTGAAAAAAAAGAAAAGAACAGTAACGTGGGAAGGTACTCATGATGCATTCATTTAGGCTATGTTCTGTTAAATTTGTAGTCTGACAGAAATTGTAGAGAAGAAGAGCTCTGTCCGTCTCAAAGTTCTAAATGCCTTCAAGAGTAATTCTTTCTCCAAGTAAATTTTACCAGAAAAGATACTGCACTGATGAGGGACAATCAAAAAATTTCTTCCCATCTCCTCTTTTTTGGTCTTTCCTTCGCAGTTCTTTCATTAGCATCACCATCAGGCATATCTCGTCTTCCCACTTCTTTCAGATCCCTTGCAGGCATACAACTTTTATATGGCACTGAGGCTATAAAAATCAGAGAAAGAAATATGAATACTAGCGCATTAACAACAGATGACACTGCCATCAGCAAGTGGCCCAGCTACATGCAAGTTGCTTATGTGTAAATCCAATGCCTACAAAATTTATGAGAGTGGTCTATTATTTAAATTAGATTCCAAATACCAGAAAAGCTAGCAGCAAAACTCTCAGAAGCAGCCACATATCTTTAGCAGGCACAGATACAGTCAATGAAGAATCAACTCCAAACTGCATGTGACGGTAAACTAACAGAGTACAAGTTCTATTACTAAGGTAGAAGAAGACGATTGGAGCATATAAAGGATACGGATATGAACCATGGACACAAATAAACGATATGGATATGACATATTGTGAAAACACTGATAAAACAATTACTAAAGAAATAGCATGTGGATACATCAAGGAACGAATATGTGTGTGTGTCTATTATATATAAGCTAAAAAAGAAAAGGTAATTTTCCAAAATATTTATGGAAATTGACCTTTCTTTATGAAACTACCAATTATTATAGATGTTTTACTTATATTAATAAAATTTTGCGTAAGAGTAATGAGTTTCAATATCCGTTCTGGATATGATACGAATACAACTTCCTTGTAGAAGTATCAGTACGTACAAGTTCTAACATGGGGTAGCATCAAGAAATTTCTTCAAACATTTCGATACCAAGATAGTATTAAGTTATGAACTATCAAGAACTGCCAAAATTTCATAATGTGCCATACTTAGTTCCATGTGCAATTTAAAATCAAGCATACGTCTAAATTGCTACTTAGGATGCTCACAAAACAAAGCAATTAGGTCATGGTGTTAGAGTTTCTTCCACACAATCAACCAAGAAGTAAACTCACATATGTAAATTAGAAGCAGCAAAAAGAGGGAAAATTTGATATCTGTCATGATGAATAAATCAACCCACAATCAAAGTAATGAGAAGTACCACAGGATAAGCCAATAGCAAGTTGATATCTGTAATAAATAATTGGTTAAGCTTCAGACCAAAAACACGGTACAATATATGCAGTACATAGCCCTCGTTTCGCATGAGACTTTTTTTTTATGTTGGGGGCTAATTTAGTCACAAAAAGACTTAAAAAGCTAATAACACAAAATATCACATCCAAACCATAATCATTTCACTTTTTCTCTCACAAAAGTAAAAAAAGTCAAAAAATTTAACCCAAACGAACTTTTTAACTCTAACCTAAAATAGCCAAAAAGCCAAAAAGCCAACTCACTTCTCAAACGAAGCCTATGCTTTGGTAATTTCCTACTAGTAACAATACTGGTTTTCCACCCAAATATAGAACTTCCTCTCCTCTTTTTTTCTTGGTGGTCCTTGGAGGTGTCCTTGCTGGAATACTAATCAAACCATATGCAATTGCCAAAAGTTCACAATGATAGCTCCCTTTCTTTTCTCTTTTTCCTAGTTTCCTTTTTATCCTGTTAGTATATTATTATTATATGTTATTATGTTTAGCTTTAGCTTTAATAATTAGTGTAGCTTTAGCTTGCTTTAGCTTTAATAATTAGTGTAGCTTTAGCTTTATGCTTTCGGTGCCTCTCTCTCCAATGTACATCACAGGCTATAAGAAAAGAGCTAGGCTCCCTTTGTAAATCAACAAATTATATACACATCTCATTTATTCACTTGTTCTCTCTCTCTCTCTATCAATTTTATCTTACATGGTATCAGAGCCCAGTGTTACATTTCTGGCAATTTTTGATTTTGGTGTTTAGTCCCGTATACAGTGGCACTACATCAAACTGCTCGGAATTTCCTCACGATTCCAACGGCACCAAGCCCATTCTCAAAAAACCTTCCACGCGCCCACACGCGCCGCCTTTGTCCTCTGCGTGTCATCACTTCCGCCATCACTCTCACACGCGCCCGCACGCGCCATCTGTTGTTGCTCACTTCCGCCACGCGTCCACACGCGCCCACACATCCGCGGCTGACGTCAGCCCTGCCTCTCTCGTACGCCGCGCCTGTTACTGTACGCCTCTCGTGCACCGCTTCACTAGTGTGCACCCGCGTGCGCCAAAACAGTTACCGTGCGCCGCGCCTGCGCCTGTCCGCTACCGTGCGCCACCGCCTTCCCGCTAACTTGCTCCTCCCTACACTCTGCTAACGTGCGTCGTTGACATCATTGCTGACATCATCTCTGTCCAGCATACCTTTCCTTGCTATTTTCGACCTTCCGGACTCCCTAGTGCACTCTATTTTACCTAATTTTGCTCCTACAGGTCTATTCCTACTCCTTTAACCCTACTCAATTCGTATTATGGATCGTCATGATGCCTCCCATCCCATTTCCGTTATTTTGAATGGTTCAAACTATGTTCTATGGGCCCAAGCCATGTCCTCCTTCCTCAAAGGCAAGAAACTATGGCGAATTGTCACCTGGGATGTGACTAAACCGGTGAAAGACAGTGCCACTAATGAAACTCCTGCTCATACTACTACATATGAAGACCGACTTGAGGAATGGGACAGTAAGAATTACCAAATCATTACCTGGTTTCGTAATACCTCTATTACCTCTATCAGTCTTCAGTTTGGTCGCTTTCAGCTTGACTCTGTAACTACTCCTGCAAAAGACATCTGGGATTTTTTGAAAGAACGATACCAGACTACTGGTCTTGCCCATCAATATCAACTTCAGAACCAACTTCACCGCATGCATCAAGAATCCACTCAGTCAATTAATGACTTCCTTTCTCAAATGTACTCTGTTTGGGATCAGCTTGCTCTTTCAGAACCAACCTGGCATGACCCCGAAGATGCAGTTTTATTTACTAACCATCGCAACCAGCAAAGGTTGGTGCAATTTCTCATGGCTCTTACCCCCTCTTTTGAGCCCGTACGTGCCTCTCTGCTTCATCGCCATCCCTTGCCCACTCTTGAACAAGCCATTTCTGAGTTGCTATCAGAGGAGACTCGTCTAGGTACTCTTCAAACTCATCATGTGGACTCTGTTCTTGCCACTCCTCCGTCCCGGCCATCATTTACCCAGCGGACAACTGCTTGCCTCTATTGTCAGAATCGGGGCCTTCCTTCCACCCATCTCCTGGTCAATTGCCCCGTCAGATCCTGCCGCTACTGCAACAAACTTGGTCCTGGTCATCTGCAATAGGATTGTTTTCGTAATCCATCCCGATCATCCTCCAATAGCCACTCCTCTCGCGGTGGCTCTTTCCGGGGAAGCTTTCATCGTTCCGGGAATCAGTCTCATCACACTGCTACTGCTGCTTCCGGGAATCAGTCTCATCATACTGCTGCTGCTGCTTCCGGGCATCAGTCTCATCACACTGATGCTTCTGCCTCTGCGGGGTTCTCTGAGTCACCTGCTCCGTCTACCCTTCGCTTTTCTTCGACAGATGTAGAGGCCATGCTCAAACAACTTCTCTTCCCTTCTGGTACACCTCTTCCTATTGCTTTGTCTGTAACCCCAGGTAACTCTTCTTGGTATTTTGACTCTGCTTGTTGTAATCATATGACCTCCAGTTCTACTATCTTTTCTTCCTTCTCCTCATCTTCCCTCAATTCATACTGCTGATGGTTCCTTCATGTCTGTCCGTCATGTTGGTACTGTTTCCATCTCTTCTTTATCCATACCTCAAGTTTATCATATCCCTGCTCTCACCTTAAACCTTATTTCCATTGGTCAATTATGTGAACTTGGTCTAACTGTCACATTTTCTGCTACTGAATGTTTGGTACAGGACCCTCAGACGGGGCAGACTATTGGGATTGGCCGTAAGCGTGGACGTCTCTATGAACTCATTCACCTTCATGTTCCTGCCTCTCCTTAGATCGCTGCTCCTACATCTACTTCCTCATTATCTCTCTTTCATCTTTGGCATTGTCGCTTAGGGCATATTTCTGTTAATCGCTTAAAGTCTTTGGTTTCTAGTGGACAGTTGGGTCATGTAATTCCCGATCATTTCGATTGTATACCCTGTCAACTGGCCAAACAACCTGCTTTATCATTTAATAAAAGTACTTCTGTTTCCCTTGCACCTTTTGATCTTATACATTCGGATATTTGGGGACCCTTCCCTACTACTACTATGGGGGGATCCCGCTATTTTGTTGTTTTTATTGATGATTTTTTTCCGATTTACTTGGCTTTTTCTCATGCAAAATAGGTCTGAACTTAAACACAGTTATTATAGATTTGCCCAAATGGTCCACACCCAATTCTCCAAAGCCATCAAAATTTTTCGCTCTGACAATGCTATGGAATATCGGGATTCAGATTTCCTTTCCTTTCTTCAGCATCATGGTACACTGCCTCATCGTTCTTGTGCTGGCACGTCCCAGCAAAATGGCCGCGCTGAACGGAAACATAGGCATATTCTTGACACTACTCGCGCTCTCCTTCTCTCTTCTTCCTGCCCTGAAAACTTTTGGGGGGAAGCTGCCCTCACTGCTGTTTACACTATCAACTGTGCTCCTACCCCTGTCATCCATAATCAAACTCCCTTTGAACGTCTGCATGGCACTCCCCCTCCTTACGCCAATCTCCGGGTTTTTGGCTCTGCCTGCTTTGTTCTACTTCAATCCCATGAACACACCAAGCTTGAACCTCGTTCTCGTCTTTATTGTTTTCTTGGGTATGGAATTGAACATAAAGGCTTTCGCTGTTGGGATCCTCTCTCTAAATGCCTTCGTATCTCCCGCCATGTCATTTTTTGGAAGTACCAAATGTTTTCCTCACTATCCTCCTTTCACTTACCCGCACTTTCCACTCCTGTACTGTTTACTAATCCTTCCATAGATCTTTTCTCTGCTGATTTTGATACAGGTTCCTCCTTCATCGAGACGCCTTTGCTCACTCCTGATCCCGTCCAGCTTGCTCTCCCTGAAGGTCTACCTCTTATTGTCACACCTCCTTCTCCACCGGTTCTTCCTCCCATCGATCCTCCTATGGGTTGACCACGCCGAGTAACTCAACCTCCTATCAATCTTCGTGATTATATTGTGGGATCTGCTGCCTTCTCTACTTATGAACCTACCTCCTATCGTGAGGCTTGTACTAATCCTCTTTGGCAGCAAACTATGACTGATGAACTCCATGCCTTGGACAAAGCTCATACTTGGGATCTTGTTGATCTTCCTCCTGGCAAGACTACAATTGGCTGCAAATGGGTTTACAAAATCAAAACACATTTTGATGGCTCTATTGAACGCTACAAAGCTCGTCTTGTTGCCAAGGGTTTCAACCAGGAATATGGTATTGATTATGAGGAGACATTCTCTCCTGTTGCTCGGCTAACCTCTGTTCGCAGTTTACTTGCTGTTGCCGCTGCTCGCCACTGGGGGCTCTTTCAGATGGATGACAAAAATGCTTTCCTCAATGGTCATCTTATTGAGGAGGTCTACATGCAACCTCCACCTGGGTCCACTTTTCAACCTCATCAGGTTTGCAAACTACAGCGTGCTCTCTATGGCCTCAAGCAAGCACCTCGTGCTTGGTTTGCTACGTTCAGTTCTACCATTCATGATTTTGGGTTCACCTCTAGCTCCTATGACTCTGCTCTTTTTATCCGGACTACTTCTCATGGTACCACTCTTCTTCTTCTGTATGTGGATGATATGATTATCACTGGTGATGATCAAGCTGGTATTCTCCACCTCAAACAATTTCTCCACCAACAGTTTGAGATGAAGGACCTTGGTACTCTTAACTACTTCTTAGGCCTTGAAGTCTCTCATGATTCTACTGGTTCCTATTTGTCCCAGGCCAAATATGCATCCGATCTTCTGGCTCATGCTGGTCTTACTGATTGCAAAACTACCTCTACTCAAGTTGATCCTCAGATTCGTCTCACTCCTCTTGATGAGACTCTTCTCTCTGATGCTACTCTTTATTGCCAGCTCGTCGGCAGCCTTGTCTATCTCACAGTAACTCGTCCTGACATTGCCTATGCTGTTCACATTGTCAGTTAGTACATGTCGGCTCCTTGCACTCCCCACTATACTGCTCTACTCCGCATCATTCACTACCTCAAAGGCACTCTGTTCCATGGCCTTCACTTCTCTGCTTCCTCCTCTCTTGAACTGCGTGCCTTTTCCGATGCTGATTGGGCTAGGGATCCTACGGATCAACGCTCTACCACGGGTTTCTGCTTCTTCTTAGGGGATTCTCTTCTTGCTTGGCGTAGCAAAAAACAATCCCTCACTGCCCGCTCTAGCACCGAAGCTGAATATCGAGCTCTTGCTGATACTACTCAGGAACTTCTTTGGCTTCGTTGGCTTCTTGCTGATATGGGTGTTTCTTCTTCTGGTCCTACCCCTCTCTATTGTGACAATCAGAGTGCCATTCAGATTGCTCACAATGACGTTTTTCATGCTCGCACCAAACATATTGAGATTGATTGTCATTTCATTCGCCAGCATGTTACCTGTGGTACTGTTCATCTTCTCCCTATTGCTTCCGTCGATCAACCCGCTGATATCTTCACTAAGGCTCATCCTCCTGGCCGCTTCACTGATCTTATTTCCAAACTCAACTTGGTTGATGCTTTCCCTCCTTGAGTTTGCGGGGGATGTTAGTATATTATTATTATATGTTATTATGTTTAGCTTTAGCTTTAATAATTAGTGTAGCTTTAGCTTTATGCTTTCGGTGCCTCTCTCTCCAATGTACATCACAGGCTATAAGAAGAGAGCTAGGCTCCCTTTGTAAGTCAACAAATTATATACACATCTCATTTATTCACTTGTTCTCTCTCTCTATCAATTTTATCTTACATATCCAACTCGTGAATCTTAGGTATATACTTCAAGGTGTCCTCAACTACCCTTGCAGCATTATTATCATTTTCAGCTACCTTTGTCCAATTTTTTTCATAATTTTTTGGATTTAAATAAAAGAATAATTCTAGGAGACCTTTGTAGATAGTGAAAGGAAACCTCCAGAGAAGGATGTCTGTAACTTGCACAAAAATCAGGAATTTATTCTTTTGCTATGCTTCATTCATTTCTGTAATCACCCCTCTCCTTTTTTGCATAATTTTATCCATTGAATCTTTCGTTCCATTGTTGCGTGAAAGCTGTTGAGGAATAGAACTTAACTTTTTTATCATGACATCAGCATCGGAATATTACGTCATTTGTTCCTAAAACAGGATATAAAGGCATCCGGATCTACCAGTCCAAGAGTAAGGTCAGGTGCAGTCTCCGATCTCTTTCCTGTGAAGCTGTTGCTCCCATTGTTCAACACACCAAGTGGAACATGTCAAAAGTGGGTTTTCTTGAATTCAAATACAACCTTTCGAAAACAATGTTCTTGCGGAAACCAACCCAAATGTTTTCCTCCAGGGACCGAGAATTCAGCAGTTTGTTGCCGGCTTACATGCCAATTATGGATGAGATGAAGCAAGTGTTTGACCAAATTGATTCCGACAAAGATGGGAAGATCTCTCAGGAAGACTACAAGGACCTACTGAGAGCAATCAGGAAGGAAAACGAGATCAAACTGGTACCCAAGATATTCAAGGCTGTTGATTTGGATGGTGATGGATTTATCAATTTTAAAGATTTTGTGAAACTACACAATAGGGCAGGCGGGGTGAAGACAACAGACATACATTGTGCCTTTCGGACAATTGATTCAGATGAGAATGGAAAAATAGGTGCAAAGGAAGTGTTCGAGTTGCTGAAGAGGCTGGGAGAGAAGTGCAGCCTAGAAGACTGTCAGAAAATGGTGACAGCAGTGGATGCAGATGGGGATGGTGTGATTGACATGGACGACTTCATGACCATGATGACTGGCACCATGAAGCCTAGTCAGGCAAATTGTTAAAAAACATTCCATCAACAGACCCCCAGCTTCTTGAGTTTCATACACTCTGATGGCCTTGTGATATACCAATCATACAAGTCCTTGACCCCCAGCTCCTTCTGTTTCAAAACATAACAACCCTAATATTGCCAAAAAACTGATCAATATACCCAATGTAATGGCAGTGTGTTATAATTAAGAAGATAATAATCTTCCTATGCTGTATAAGCAATTCTTCGACCCTCTTTTGAGATATTTCAATGATATTTTTGTTTTTCTTTTGTTCTCTCATCGGTTCTTTGTCTGTCAATGGACAATTTGGCAGGAAAATTAGACCACAAAAAGCTCCATGACCTATTCATTCGGTGTGGTTTTCCTCAAAAAAAAAATACAAGGGGCATTACCCCAGGCAAAAAAGACTATCCTGAGCGAAGTCTATACACTCATGAAACCATACAATATGAGAATAAGCTCTTCTAAATCAACAAAACAAAAACTTTACCTTCTGTACTACCCCATCTAAAGAAAAACAGAACTGTGCAACCAGCACATTAAACTAATGTCAAATTCACATCAACAAGCAGTAACAACTACTTCCAACAAATCTCTGACGCAACAGCAGCAAATCAGCCCACTATAGCAGCAACCTATTTTTTCCAGCAAACAAGTTAAAACTGCAGTAGCAATGGCAACAATGTGACAATGTCAACAAACAACAGCAACATTAGTGTTACACTAAGCTGGAAGACATAAATTTTTTAATCAACCTGGGCACATCTTACCAGAATCCCACAAGCAGAGATTTTTAAAAAAAATTAAAAAATAAAAGTAATGTGGGAAGGTAGGTACTCTTGATGCACTAATTTAGGCTATTTTCTGTAAAATTTTCCTGAACTATACATACATATCTTGTAGTCTGACAGAAATTGTAGTGAGGAAGGCCAGCCAGCATCTTGGCTGTAGCACTGAGATCTATTGAGTGTTAATAGTAGCAATTGCATAAGCTTACTGATACGAGTGTCTATGCTACATCAGAACATGAATACTTATGAATGCATCGCAATAAAACTAACATATTAGCCAAGCCCAATCATAAAGAGTTGATAAACATAAATAATAAATAAATAAAAAGTTGAGATTATTTCTGCAATCTCATGACCTTCAGTGCTGAACAAGAGGTTTAGCAGACTTCTCAAATTCAACTTCCAAATCTTTTGATTACACAAGTTCTGTACAAGTTTGTGCTATGCAACCAGATTCCTTCAGGTCATCTTCAGCTGATGTTTCCAGAGCATTGCCAGCATTGGTTTCTCAACAAATTCGCCCTCATCAATTCATACAACACCAATCCATCTTCACCCAACGCATTTTTTGCATACCCATTAATCATCAAATGCCAAGATTCTATATTCCTGACAGGCATACGTTCAAAACTCCGCACACATCGGCCATACTTCCACATTTTGAGTACATCTCAATCACCTTATTATTCAATTGAAGATCACCCCTGGAAGTTCATCCTAGAAAGTAATCATGCACTAGTGAATTCGGATCTATAACCATGGATAATGAGTATTACACATTATAAATCAATTCTGAAAACTAATTCCCAGTCAATTCATCCAATTTTTAGAGTACAAATTTTCACATTTGAATTATGTGTTAGGTATACTAACACTCCACTCCATCAATCTGGAAAATCTTGGTTCAATTTGAAAGCAACCCTGAACCAATCTAAGGATGGATAATTGCATAAAAGCTAAAGTTTTTAAATAATTTGGATGATTAGAACCACAAATTGTTATTATTATTTTTTATTTGGAGTCTGAGATTGTCTGAAAGTTTCCTTATAGTTACTCCTCCAAAACAAAGGTCAGTAAATCAATCTAGATTGATAATTAGGCCCTTTATTCGGCCTACGAATTAGGGAAGATGTACACAAAACACCTAAGATAACAATAACTCTGTTAAAGTCTAAAAAGATAACAATGGAAAAAATTATTAGGTGTATCATATGATATTATTTACGCGATATTTCTGATAAATGAGAAATCATCTATTTTTTCAATATAGTCTCACTTATAAATTCTTTTACTACATCATTGATTAGGAATAGTACATGAAAAATATCACATGATTTTGGGTACTACTGAATAATTAGCCAAGAGAGAATATTTTGGGCAAGATTCAAAGCACCCAATTAATTTAGAAGATAAAGGGGTTATCTCTTGATCTGACATTGTAAAATGTGCATGAGAACATAATATATATGCTATAAAACAAATTTTGCTCGCAAGATGGGAGACCAGAAGGGAAACAATGACACTGCCCTTAGACCAAGCTTTTCCTTTCCACTAATTCATGAGCTTAATCTAATTAATGTCATTAAACTAGAATTCTTCAAAAGTTTTCACAGTTGTATTGTGGGCAGTCAGCCACGTGTCTAAAACCCATTTGGTGATCTGTTGAAACTAGCCCACTCAAAAGAAGATAAACCATGTGAAGCTCACTAGTGTAGTCTATGAAGTGCAATCCCCTCATTATTCCCAAATTATTAGTCAATCTAAAACACCTTTTCTTTTTTCCTTTTTTTTAGTGTAAACAGTCAATCTAATACTAAACTAGCTTTTATTTAATTTTGTTATGTCGACAAAAACTTTTAGATCACTTCATTTACCGGTAGATTAACAATATTAAGCCATGCTCAAGTCCACAAGGTTCTTAGGTGGTTTTCTACCATACATAGTTGGCACCTAGTTTGATGGGGGAATCCCAACCTCCATATGATGTGAAAAATGCAATATGGCTACTTATCTTAAGTCAGTTTTAAAATATTAGATTTTTTTTTTTTTTCATTTCTCATATCTCTTTATTTTAAATTGTATTTCCATCACACATTTAGATTCAAAGAAATTTATCATATAATCATAAAAAAAAATAGTTTGAGATTAGAAGAGCTAAAAAGTATAAAAGTATAAATCCCCGTGTATAGGTGTTATGAATAAATGATAAATTTGAAATATTTATCTCATTTTGCTCTCTTTAACGCACAATGATAATGTTTCTCTCAACTACATATGTAATAATATATCGATTATTTAACATTTTATTGCATCACGGTAAGGTTTGCAATTAATGTTATAAAAATACTTCTCCAAAAATAAGAATAAGGCTATATAGTTCTCGTTAAATTGTGATTCTTTCCATTCCATAGTTGCAATGGAAGATAAATCCACTTGAAAAGAAATATTATATAGTTGCAATGGAAGATAAATCTACTTGAAAAGGAATATTATATGTTAAGCGTTCGTCTTTAACATATTAACTTTTGATAGTTTTACTTACTAAAATAAAAATTGTAAATAACAATAATTTTATGTGAATTTGTGTTTAATCTTTGTATTCTTAACATTATTAGAGTAAATAATGTTACTGTTGCTTAAGAAACCCGAAGTGGAACAAAAAAAGGTATAATAACAATGGGCATCTGTATATATTTCAGTTTTGACCCACTAAATGCGCAACAATCCAACTGAGTCGTTATCTACAGCCCATTCCAGTTCTTAAAAAACCTTAGGATTATTGTTATTTTTTTGATTGGATCTTAGGATTATTTTTTGTTTTGTTTTGGTTTGGTTTGGTTTCGTATAGTCCAAACAAATTTGCGGCGGTTTCATGAAAGCTGTGATGACAGCTACCATTTCCCACCATTGAACCATATTGCAGTACAGTTGTGAAACATAACTTTTTTTAAAACTAATTCCCATTCAGATTTTTTTTTATCAATAAAAAAATAAAAAAAAAGCTTATTAAAGTAGATCTTGAGGGTTGTTTGAGATAAACTAAATATATGTACTTTTTGACTTTTTATGAAATATGAGTTGGGTAAGTAATGTAGTAGAGAGATGATGTGATTTAAATAGATGATGCGACTTAAATAGGATAGTGACTTTTTGATTCTTTTTTGATTATGTCAAACCAAGCCCAAATACAAAAATAGACATCAATAAAAGAGGACAAATACAAGTGTACAAAGCATTAAAGCAAAACTAAATGATCCCAATTAAATTGATATTGAAAAGCAAGTCTAATCATCTGCTATTTAGATCTACAAACAAAAATTGATAATTTTTTTTAATACCTCTCCACTATACGAACTTTTGCATGTGAACGATGGATATGGAGGAGTTCGATTATGTTTAGTGTTCCTACCTTATCCATTTGAATTTGCGTGTAACTTCAAAGTAGAAAGATGATTGTTACCCAGTGAAGGAAAGAATGCATACACCAAAAAATAATTATACATGGTAATCAATTATTCAAACACACTTCACATGCCTGCTAATCCTAATTTAATTATAAATTGTCTTTTAAAATTTTGGAGGCATCTTAAAATTATTATTAATTAGCTTTATTGGGAAAAAAAGGCTAGGACTTCTTTAACTAACATTGAGTGGTTTAGAGTGGCGATATGAGATAAGTCTCTAATAGTTGCTATAGAGACATATGGTAATGGCAAATTAACAGAAATGTTACACACCCATATTCAGAATTTGAAATATATAGATAAAATTTATCGTGAGCGTGACTTGCATCAAGTTTGAATCTACACTATATATTTAAAGACACTTTTTTGAGTATTTTTTTCCGAGTATTTAACATTTTGGAACGAATCAAAGTAACATTAGATGTCTAATTATTCAATTGATTTTGAAGTTAATGGATAAATGGCACTCATTTTGTACAAGTGCCACACTGTTTTTTTTTTAAATTCTTATGGACTTCATTATCAAGTTGTCATTTGTCATTTGCACACACAACACAATTACAATCCTCCACTATAAATACTAGCATGTGAATACTAATAGCAGAAGGGAGAGCAGGAATAACTAGCTAGTTGGTGCTGCCTTGAATTCCCATTGCATGCTTAAACATGTTCAACAATGATCAGCAGCAGCAAGGCCACTGCACTTCCATCCCAAGAATCTCCTTCTCCAGCGATTTCGCAGATGCTCAACACCAGATCAAGCATGAAAGCAGCTACAGAGAACCACCCGTGTCGTTGGAGGATTTCAAATTCTCCATCGATAGCTACGGCATGATCTCTGCAGATGAGCTTATCTCCAAGGGGAAGTTGTTGCCTTTGAACACCAAGATGACCACCCTCAGAGAGGAACTCCTTGTTGATGATGATGATAATGAAAATGATCATCAGGATGTGTTTTCGAGGCTACAGAAGGGTTCTGGCTGGTGGAAGGAGCGGTTGGGTCTGAAGAGGGCTCACATTGTGCCTAAGAAAGCCGATTTATATGCCAACAAGACAGGTGTGATGCAATATATGTAGCATTTTTTCTTTCTTTCTTTTTTTCTTTTTTTTTTTTTTCTTCTTAAATGTCCCTAAACATGATCATAGGAACCCTTACCCGCTTCGAGAGCCAGACAGAAAGGGCCTAGAAAGACTCACAAATGCGGGAATCGATACATAAACTTGTTAAGTAGGGATCAACATGAACTAATAGTACTCTTGTTTGTTTTCTCTGTTGCAGGAACTAATTGGTGGACTTTAGGCCATGAAGGCGGAGAAGCAATGTAGAGAAATCATGGGCACCGTCTAAAAGCAATGGAGGATTTTTTGCTGCAGCTAATGGCAATGCTAGATACTGAGTATATTTTGAATATTGGACGTAGAGATCTTAAGATTTGTTTGTTTGGTTTAACTCAATTTATCATTCCTCCTGAGGCATGCATATGCTACTAGGGTTGTGTTATGTACAAATGTTTGCAGATGAAGAATTTCATGTAATAATTAACTATATTCATAGATCTAATCTATCTAATGATGCTTTGTTATCTTTTTGCCGTCTCTTTTTGTGTTTGCAACTGGGTTGTGTTGAGCCACTCATGTCATAGGTTAATTTTTGAAATTTTTTTGGCCAGGTCAAACTTAAGGTGGTGTTTGGGAAGTCTTGAAGTTGGTTTTTTTTTTTTTTTTTTCACAAAAAGACAAACTTTTTGTAAAACCAAAAAAACACATCCAAACAAAATATCACGTCCAACCCCATAATCATTTCACTTTTTCTCTCATAAACATTACATCCAATCACAAAAAAACCCAACTATCTTTCCAAATACAAAAAAAAAATTTCTCCAATAATATCCTATAACTAAAAAAACTTACATAAAAACTCACTTCCCAAACACCCACTTAATATTTTTGGATCAAAAAACAATGACCTGTACAAAAAGAAATTTATCTATCTAAAGTTTATCTATTTGTTTATCCCTCCAAATGTCACATATATGTCTAAATATCACTTATCTATATGTATGTGTGTCACCTATTTATTCGCTTATATATTCAATGTCACTTATTTATCTATCTCACTATCATCATTGGCAACTTTCCAACAACTCTTTCAGTAACTTTTTAACCCATAACCTTATCACTAAAAAAAATATTAAACCTTAGACAAAATAAAATATGACTCAACTAATATAAACTTTTCACCAATTAACCGTTGTGTTATGTTCAAATATTTGCAGTTGAAGAATTTCGTGTAATAATTAATTAATATTTATAGATCTAATCTATCTAATGATTATTTTTGCCATATCTTTTCCTCTATTTACTTTTTATTTTTTATTTTTTATTTTTATTTATTATGCTTGGATCTTAAATTTATAAAGAGAAAGAAAAATTAAATTATTAAAAAAAAATACTTCAAATCTAAACACTTCTGAGAGGATAATTTATATACAAATTGGGCCGAGCTGGGCCTTTATGGGCCTCAGTACGAAGGGCTGAGTAAAGAGGTCATAAAGTTACTCCGGTCTTGAAGAGGCTTAAAGTTAGCCCGGTCTCAAGCCCAGAAGGTAGACCGATCCGAGGGACTCTTGATGTTAGTCCGGTCGAAGGACGCTTTGTAGTTAGACCGGTTTAAGGATGCTTTGAACTTATACCGGTCATGGCGCAATGAAACAAGATTGGTCTAAACCTTGATAAAAGATAGTTCGGTTTTGGGCATACATGGTTTGTAGAAAACTATGGACAGAGAACCGAACTAGGTATGGTTCGGCTAAGCATAGTCGTGATTACTTCGGTCGTATGGTAGGTCGGCCATGGAAGAACCATCTCACTTGGTTTAAGCAGTAAGGGGGGGTTGAAGGATAAGCATTATCCTTCAGGAGTATGAATCCTAGGAGGACTCTGCATGGAGGAGTAAAAGTCCTACTAGGATTGTGCCACGCAAAACCTATAAAAGCTCACAAACATCACCTATGGAGAGGTAACACACAACTTTGATTCTCGAATTCACAGAGCTTCTTGTCTATTTGTCTGTTTTTCTGACTTAGACATCGGAGGGGTTTCCGGCACACACCCGCTGACTAGCTCACGTTTGTGTTTTCAAGGAGTAAAGCGACGTCGTACGGAGGAATGCAGACTTGATCAACAGGATTATACGAGAAGGTTTATTTCTTTCCCGTACAATTAGCGCCGTCTGTGGGAAAAACAGACAGGACAAAACCTTTTGATCAAGCTTTACCTCTTTAGGAACAATGGCGCACAATGAAGATTTACCGCAGTCCGTCATCGACGGGCAAACACCAGATGGGGGTACAAGGCGTGAAGGACTACCTTTTATCCCTCCCATGGCAGACTTGGAGCCCCAACGGCATAACCCCATGAGGGATACTAGGGGGAGGCGGAATAACAGCCCCCGTCACTCTCGTTCCCAAAGTCCTGACAGACAAAGGCGGAAGATTGATCCTCAAGCTCTGGAGGACCGCGTGAAGGAACAAGATGAATTGATACGACGGATGGCGGCGGACATGGAGATTATGAAGCGCCAGATAAAGGCAAAGGAAGTGGCGACAGGAGAGGGGCGCAAAAACAAGACGCCCCCTCGCCACTCAGAAGACCGTGGAAGGCATACCACACCATCACAAGCAGAAAGTAGAAGCCTCAAGACAGGCGATACTCAGTCTAGAACCTCCAAAACTCGTTACTCCAGGTCTGAGAGAACGAGATCATTGAGGTCTTACACAGAGGGAAGTACCTACCGACCCTCGCACTCGACCCTCGCACTCGCACCAAATATCATCCAAGCGGACGGAGTTGCCAAGATCATCCGATTTGCGGACCATGCTGGAAGAAAAGGCACGATGGAATGAGGACACTAGGGCACGCGACCCTCGCAGAGTTTCTGCCCTTCAACGGTTGGCTCCTCGGACACATAGAAGCGTCGAGGTTGGAATGCCATTACCACACCATGCCTACGAACCAACAGACAAAGCATTAGTAAGGCTGCTGACCTCGCTGTTTGTTCTGGCGATCGAAAACGCGCCCCTAGAAGACAGACCCTTACATACACCTAAGCCACTTTCGTCAGGTTATGGCAGTATACCGATGGAACGAAGCTTTAATGTGCATTCTCTTCCCATCAAGCCTTGGTGACCTAGGCTTGACTTGGTTCGAAAAACTTCCAGAAGGCAGCATAACCTCCTGGGCGCAATTGGTAGAGGCATTCGTTACTAGGTTCAGAACGAACACCAAAACTCCGGTGGAAATTGATCAACTGCTCTCCATCGATATGGGCGAAAAAGAGTCATTAAAATCCTACAATAACCGCTACTGGGAGACCTTCAACCAGATTGGGGACTGCCCCACCAATCTCGCCATCGCACAGTACAAAAGAGGCCTTCCAGTCGGGAACAGACTAAGGGACTCAATCACTATGACACCACCTCTCATGATGGAGGCCTTAATGGAGAGAGTGCACCAGCACATTCGGGTTGAAGAAGATGGCGCCCATGCTAAAGCAAAGTCTAGCACGACAGCAGTACCAGATAAAAAGACCGCGGCAAAGATCAACGCGGTAGAACGTTCGAACAAAAACGGACGAGGCAGGTGGGACAACGGAGAAGACCAGGATAAAAGATGGTTGAGAGTCCGCACTGCCATTACTATGGTATTCAAAAAGCCAATCTACCGAATTCTAAGCGAGATACGCGATGAACCTTTCGTCAGATGGCCAGCCAAGCTAGGAGAGGCTCAGAAGGACTACGACGAAAGATCACGGTGCACCTTCCGTAAAGAAAAGGGGCACCGCACTGAAAATTGTACACCATTGAAACAGCATTTAGAGGAGTTGGTGGCAGCCGGTCACCTGGATAAATACATTGAAGGAGGGACGCAGCCAGCTCCCCAGAATGACAACCATCTGAACGGAATGCCAATTGATGCACCACCTCAAGGCGTAATCAATGTGATACATGGAGTATTCGAACCTGAGCGTGTATGCGAGCTCAGAGGGTCGATCAAGAAGGCTGAGCACTTAAGAGAGGTACTAAGCGCTCAACCTACCATAAAAAAGGGGAGAACAGACCTTACGAATGTCATTTCCTTTTCGGACCGAGACTTGGAAAGAATATATTGCCCTCACAACGATGCGCTGGTCGTAACTCTCCGCATCAGGGATTACGACATCAAGCGGATTTTGATAGACCAAGGCAGTTCATGTGAAATAATGTACTACGACACCTTTAAACAGTTGAAGTTACAAGATAAAGACTTGGCAGCTGCCGTATCTCCCCTGATTGGATTCAACTCCATGCCAGAATGGCCCGTTGGCAAAATAATCCTCCCAGTAAAGGTAGGAAGCGTGACGAAACAAGTGGAGTTCTGGGTATTAAAGGTCCCCTCCACTTATAACATCATCTTGGGCAGAACATGGCTGCATGCCATGCGATCGGTGGCGTCATCCTACCACCAAGTAATGCGGTTCCCCAATGACACCGGTGTAATTGAAGAGGTTTATGGATATCAGATTATGTCCAAGCAATGCTTTGTCACGGTAAATGGCAGCTACGCTGCCAAAGGATATGTTCATTCGGTGGAAGAACCTGAGAGCAATGAACTGTTCGTAGATGTAGGCAAAGCAGCTAATCAGAAAGCGGTGGAAGACTTGGTAAAGGTAAGAATAGATGAAAAGAACCTAGATAAGTTCTTTTTGCTCGGTTCATCGTTGTCCAGCATTGAGAGATTAGAGGTCTTGGAATTTTTGACCTCTAATATCGAAGTGTTTGCCTGGACACCATACGACATGCCAGGCATTGATCCCAACTTCATCTGTCACCGACTCAATGTCCACCCATCCGCCAGACCAATCATTCAATGCACCCGTAGATCGGCACTCCACCATGCTGAGATAGTGGCAGAAGAAGTAGAAAACCTACTGGAGGCAGGAGCAATCAGAGAGGTGCACTATCCAAGATGGATCTCTAACACAGTCGTGGTGCCAAAGAAGAATGGCAAGTGGTGTGTCTGTGTCGACTACAAAACAGTCAACATGGCATGTCCGAAAGACAGCTTTCCTCTACCACGGATAGATCAACTGGTCGACCTAACGGTGGGGCACAACCGACTTAGCTTTCTAGATGCATACAGAGGCTACCATCACATCGCCATGCATGAACCAGACTAGGAGGTCACATCCTTTACAACTCCAAGAGGACTATACTGTTACAAGGTCATGCCCTTTGGCCTAAAGAACGCAGGGGCAACATTCCAACGGATGGTCACCAAGATGTTTGAACCATTGTTAGGCAGAACAATGGAGGCTTACATCGACGACATGGTGGTCAAGAGCAATGTTACTGTTACTGTTACTGTTACTGTTACTGTTACTGTTACTGTTACTGTTACTGTTACTGTTACTGTTACTGTTACTGTTACTGTTACTGTTACTGTTACTGTTACTGTTACTGTTACTGTTACTGTTACTGTTACTGTTACTGTTACTGTTACTGTTACTGTTACTGTTACTGTTACTGTTACTGTTACTGTTACTGTTACTGTTACTG